TTTTGAGTCTTTAATTGAGCACAAGTAATATTTGCATCAATATAAATTCATCAAATCAAAGCTAAAAACCTTTTAAGAAGACTATGTTATTTTCGCTCATACATGAGAATATCTATCATTGATTTAAGACTTATTTTTTTCCCATATAGAATTAAAGATTCAAGAGAGAAGTTAAAAAGTATCAGTATCATCAAAGTAAATATTTACTAATCTATAAGTCGTATAAATAAACGCAAAAACTATCCTTGAGAGTTTCAGAGTAACATCAAAATTTCGACTCGGGGCTCTCTCTCTCTCTCTCTCTCTCTCTCTTTCTCTCTCTCTCTCTCTCAAAAGCGGGAGAGCGTCGCATGATCGCGAGATCCTAGAGACGTTCATAAAAAACACTTAAATAAAATACGATTCTCTTTATGCGCGCCACCTGTTGATTTTCACCAATACATCGTACCTGTTAACGCGCGGGGCACTATTATTCGTCACATGTAAATTCCCATTTGACAGCATTTTTCACAATTATGCGCAATGTGTCCAACCCGTCGTGTTTTACAACTACAATCGAAGGGTCGGCTAATTGCGCGATATTATGCCATCATCGTTGCCGTTTATTCGGCCGGCTGTTGTATGTTACGAATTTCGGAACGATACGCGGCCAGCGTTTCGCATCGTGCGTGTGTGTGTCGAGAAAAAACAAGCCGCGGCTTGACGCGAGTTCTCTTTGAAAAGCTGAGTGAAATATTTTCCCCGGCGCAACGATGATTGGACTATTCGTAATTTGGCGACCACAAATCGCGAATCGCCCACGTGCGTACACGTGTGTGTATGCGCGTAGACGGGAGGAAAAATTTTTATTCAAACCTCGCGCATGCATTTTTGCGTTTTAAGCAAAATAGCGAACGCGCGTCAAAGAGCACTCCGCGCGGGCCTCATTTAATGCTACTCCCCGTTTGCCTCATCGCTGCGTTCGGGCGCGCTTTTTTCGCGAAAATCTCTGCCCAGTTATTATCATTCGGTCGCAATCCACCGTCGCATCGCGCAGGGATTTCGCGCTGGAAAAAGCGCAAATTACTGCAGTTACGTACGCGCACAGAGCCCTCCTCCATCGCCGGAAAATTACGGCGCGGTTCTTTCATCGATTTTAATCTCGCGGCTGTGCGCGCGGTATACGGATACAATAAAGATTCTCCTTTTAATCCCCTCCCAATCCCTCCATCCTGCCTGCCAACATGGCCGGTCCCGTCACCTACGCGTCGTCCGTGCTGACGTCCTTGTGTGGACACGGGAATCGTGAAAAATGTGAAAAGGTCGTACGGCGAGAGACGACTTATTTAACTCCTCGATGATAACCACGCCAAGAATCGCAACCCACCCACATACACACACACACACGCATGCACGTACATATTGCAGTTGAATCAATGGCCCGATTCGAAAGAAAGTCTCCAATAAAAATTCCTTTTTTCAGTGCCGAATGAGAAGCGCGCGATCGCTAATGTTTTTTCTCCATTTTCTTCTCTCTCTCTCTCTCTCTCTCTCCCTCTCTTTCTCTCTTCGATATTTTTCGTTTCTTTTTTTGGGGACGGGGAGGTTTTGTGAGCTACGCGCGCGCTACCGTGACATCCCGTGACGTCGGTAAAGCGTGTCCCGCGGATTGGAAGAAGCGTTCTGAATGCACCGCGTTGCACAGCGCGAGTAAAGGGCGAGCGCATATTTCGTAGTCAGCCGTCGTAAGTCGCGGAGGCGCACGTACGCGTCGCTCTATGCAACGAATCTAAGAAGAATGAAGGGAGCATATAAATAACGTTGTTCCGGAGACGTGTCGGGTCGCCCGACAGAACTTACGGATTTTATTGTGAAATTTTCCCAACACATCTTACCTTAAATTAACGGACCTTCTCAGAATGAAACAGACTTTCCGTGGCAACATCGGCACTCGGTATTTCGACGCGCGGAAGCGAATTACGGCGAAGCTATTGGTCCACGAACCGTAAAACCAACCTCAGAAACGCTGCAACGACGATTTTTTTGTTTCTTCGCGTCCTCGATAAAGGGCAAATCGGATTTTGTAAAGTGGAACACGGAGGGAGACGCGGCAAACGCGATTTCGCACGGAACCGACCTTGCCATTGCCAACGTAAGGTGGCTTGATCAGTTTATGACTGGATCACAAACCATTATCGGCACCAGTCGTGTTGACATAGAAAATGCGACTTTCCGGGACACGTTAGTGACTAGCGACTAAATCTAAGTCAAAATCGATAAAAGGATCGCAGGAAACGACTCACTTTGACGATATGTGTGACTGAACATTTCCCTTTCCCATTTTCGACCCCAAAAAAACGTGAAAGAAAATTTGCAATTTTTCACCGTTGCATGCCCAGAAGTTGATTTGATTTTACGTCGAAACACTAGTTATTATAGTTTAATAATCGAAAGAGAAATTATATGATCAATATATTGTCTTTTACCTCCTCCAAAGATATTTTTCATATAAATTTCATATGAATTTTTCGTATAAAATGTTTGAATAATATATGTACGATGACTCTCTTTTAATAATTAAATAGAGCTCGTCGATTAATTTCTTGCAAAATTATACCGAAATTATATTTTGCAAAAGAGTATACTCGGTGAAGGGACAGTTTGCTAGAAGAAAGAAATGAAAGAAAAAATAAATTCGTGTCGCCAAATTGCATTCGTTTCAATGAAAGCTGCGTTATCTTTTGACGATCAAACAATTGGCCGCATCCGGTGTTTCTTTGCCCAGAACGTCGTCGCTCGCCGTTAATATTGATCGCGGAAGGAAAATCGACGTCGCGCGCTCTTTTCTCTTCGTGTCCTTGATACCGTCGCGACCGACACCCTCGTCGAAGAATAAAAGTGATATCTTCGAACGGGAACTCCTCCCCGCGGTCGTCTTCTTCACGGTCGTGTAGCGCACATCGGGCCGGCGCTACCGCCGGAATAATTGACCTAAATGTACCGCAAAAATAGCGGATCATAAATTACGCGGACTCGACGAGAGTGCACTTGACACGGCCCTGTCATGACACAACTACCACGCCAGAGGGGGAGATAGACGGACGGAGACAGATAGATAGAAGAGAGACAGACAGAAAGAGAGAGATAGAGGGGGAGAAGAAAGAGGGATGAGAAGAAAAAGAGGCAGAGGAGAGGGAGAGAAGAGGGACAGAGGAAAAAAAGAGGAAAAGAATGAGAGAGCGAGAGCTGGTTTGAATGTCGTTGGCTCTCTTATATCCTGTTCTTATTTTGAATGGGGTCGAATGGCAAACTGACGAATGATGGGCAAATCTGAGAAGAATGCATCGATCGGAGCGTCGTCCACGCGCCGGAGGGTCGCTCGTTCGCGTGAATCGCCCGTCGCGTTCCAATTCGTCCGGGTTCATTCACGAGTCGCGCGCGATGTTAACGGTTTGCGTCGCGACCACCGGGTGAGCCGATCGCTAATAGGGAAAGCGACGTTACTGCGTTTCACGACGTACGAGTAATTTGCGATGCGATGGCACAAGTATCTCTAAACCGACATAAACAAATTAATATATCTGACGCTTTTTTTATTGCGGCTCAGTCGCCAATAGAAAATATTCATTTATAGATAGACTTTCCTCTATACAAAAGTATAAGCGAGCAGAGCTCATACGTTGGAACAAGCTTTTTGTACATGGAGAAAATATTGCAGTACACCAAAAAAATTCGTCTTAAATCAAGAATAGATATTCTTATATGTAAACAAGAATATTATAATGTTCCTAGGAAATTTTTAATCTTGATTTGATTGAATTTGTATCGATGCAAGTATTACTTAGTTCAAGACTAAAAATCTTCCAAGAATGTATAATAATCTTATATATATATATGAGAATATCTATCATTTTTTTAATCGTAAGACTCTTTTTCTATATAAAAATTACCGCAAAATTTTGTAATGTTAGACCATATCGAAATTATGACTGAAATGATGACTTGTATTGTAATTTTTAGTGATGCATATTATGTGTACATATCACTAAACCCGTATGTTACAGCACGTTACAACACATAATTTCGATTATAATTCCGGTATGGTACAGTATTACCAAGTTTTACGATAATTTTCACCACAATATTTTCTCGGTGTTTCTTTGCCCGAGAAGTTTTATCACGAAGAAATTACATTAAGTTTTGCGCGGCAATATCATCATAAAATATCAAGTTTTTAATTATATTCTTTCGCGTATACTTCTCACGTTCTATCTTAAGCTACTTGCCGCCTGAAACCGATATTACGCTGCAGTACACGCTCTAAACTCCTAGTGCTCGCGTAGAGAAATTGATTTATATTAAGCGCATCTCGACGAAGAAACATCAAACGGGTCGTCATAGAATTCTTATGAAAGGCTCGAAAACCCCGGACGCGAAAGCGCCGAGATGAAATCTAACAAGCGGACAGATCCAGATTACTCGCAGCGCGTGTCCTATTTTCTTTCCGTTCAACTTATCGCGCACGCTTAGTTAATTACACGAAGCGGTTATTGCGACTTGCGACAGAATAAAACAACTCAGAAGCGAGTCTACGGACCCTGGTATTATACACGCTAATTATTCGCGAATTATCTTATTTACCTCGCGCGAATGAAATCACTGATTCGAACGCTAAAGACTTTAATATGAATTAAGAAGGCCGAGAGGATTTATTAACACAGCTATAATTCCTCGAAAGAAAGAGAGAGAGAGAGAGAGAGAGAGGAAACGCCCGTTAATTCTCCGACGCGGGGTTATAAAAATAACGAAGTGTCGCCCGAATGTTTCGAGATGAAATCTTCATTAATGTCGCGCCGACCGCTTTTCATCCTTGATGAGATAGACAGAGGGAGGTAGAATGAGAAAGAAAAAAGAGAGAGATGTCCTTCGCGTTCTTCAATGTCCACTGAGTCACTCGCGCAATAAGGAACCGAGATAGCTTGCTGGATCTCCTCAAAGTCGCTTCTCTTTTCCATTTACAGATCCACGAGAGCGTCGTAGGCGCGACGACGACGACGACGTAACGGCGTTGAACTGAAAACGCGCCTCTTCGTCTCCCGAGTCGGCTTCTCGCACCCCGTCAGCGTCAATTTCGCCGGCGAGCCAGTCGCGGGGAGGAAGAAAGAAGGAGGGGAAGAATCGGCCACGTTCTCTCTCCCGAAGATGAATGTCTGTCTGGTGCGTCGACTCATCGGGACTTCGGTGACCTAAAGTCACCTCCTCGGGGAAATCTGTGCCGTTTGACCGAGAGAGAAAAAGAAAGAGAGAGAGAGAGAGAGAGGAAAGAGCAAGAAGGCGAGTCGGCACGCGGCCGGCTCGCGGCGCGGCGCAGCGTTGAGCGAGAATGACCGCGAAGACGACGTTCAAGCCGGTGGAGGTGCCCTCGTTCGACGTGCCGTCGCTGCTGGACGTCACCTCGACCGAGGACCCCTGCGCCAACGGCACCGTCGGCAACGGCGCGGAGGACAGCTGGCCGGACATGTCATTGACGATCTTGAAGGGCTGCGTCCTCGGCTCGATCATCGCCACCGCCGTCTTCGGTAATCTCCTGGTGATGGTGTCGGTGATGCGGCACAGGAAACTGCGCATCATCACCAACTACTTCGTGGTCTCGTTGGCGCTCGCGGACATGCTGGTGGCGATGTTCGCGATGACGTTCAACGCGAGCGTGCAGCTGACCGGCAAATGGCTCTTCGGCTACTTCATGTGCGACGTGTGGAACTCCTTGGACGTCTACTTCAGCACCAGCTCGATACTCCATCTGATGTGCATTTCGGTGGATCGTTACTACGCGATCGTCAAGCCGCTCAAGTACCCTATCAACATGACGAAGCGGGTGGTGGCGTTCATGCTGCTCGCCTGTTGGATCCTGCCGGCCATCATCTCCTTCCCGCCGATCTTCTGCGGCTTGTACACCACCGACGAGAACAGCCTGCACCGTCACAAACACCCGGAGCTGTGCGAGTTCAAGGTCAACCAGATCTACGCGATACTGTCGTCGAGCATATCCTTCTGGATACCGTGCACCATCATGACGGTCACGTACTTCGCGATATTCCGCGAGGCGAACCGGCAGGAGAAGCAGATGCACAGCAGGATGGGCAACGCCATGCTGCTCAGCCACCGGCCGAGCAAGGATCTCAATAATCTCAACGGTGAGCTCAACAGCGGCGGCTCCTCGAAGACGCTCACCCTCAACGAGATCAACACCGATCACCTGCACACCCCCACGAAGGACAAGCACATGATGAAGATGAAGAGGGAGCACAAGGCGGCGAGGACGTTGAGTATCATCATGGGTACCTTCATCCTCTGTTGGCTGCCATTTTTTCTCTGGTACGTGAGCGCGCCCGCGTTGCGCGTCTCAGTGCGCGCGTTACCCGCTCATCCATTACCGCCGTGATAAGGGTTGGATTAAGTTTGATTTTCTCACGTCCGCGGCAAATTTACCCTTCGCACCAGGTGCCGCGTCGAGTCGCCCGTTGCGATCTAACGCGCGATCGTTCACCTTAGGAGCCAATCAACAATTACGTCGCACGAGGGGTTTGTTAGCTCGCGCGACGCTCTGCGACGGCAGAGAAGGGCGATGGAGCGAAGGCCGTACAATGACGTATTAGATGATGTATAAGAATTTGTAATTATGGGTGCGCGCGGTTAATCACTTTGTTTGCATTCATAACGGAATTTTTCATTTCGCTACGCTTTTCTGTTGATAACGAAAATGTTGATTTTTAAATATTTATTCCTTTAGAAACGGCAATTTCTTGTCAATCAAAATTATAAAATAAAGTGATTAATTCGATATTATGCCCAACGATTACTTATAAATAAATATTGTTTACAAAAGAAGATAGTAATGTGCAGTCTAATAATTATTACCCATTATACGATTACAAGCCATTTTGTCTTATTCTACGTGGTGACGGGGAGAGGGAATGATTCCACATGTCACGTGATATTGAAAGAAGTCGAAATATTTTGTAACGAAATGTGACATTTCGCGCGACTTAATTGTTGAACGGCTCCTTAGATTCTCAGGCCGTGTTGATGAAGCGTTTTCAAAGAGAGGCGTCTTTGCGGGAAATTCGCCACTAACGAAGCGCGCGTCTCTTCGGGTCACGATTCTTCCCGAATGCGTCGAGATCTCGTATCGAAGGACGTGAACATGCCGGAAATTCGGGGCTAGCGCGGATACTCGGGTGCAAATTAGCTCTCGTGTTACGCGTTGTCCCCGAAATTTCAGTTCGAATCGATTAATCAATGTCTGAATATTCGTTGTGACGCTCCGTCCGTTATGACGGCGATAAGGATTGATTAATTTCGATATTCTGCTTTCGCGCTTCGGCTGGGGCGGTTTACTCTCTTGAAAACGCGGTTACGTTCGCGCCGGGTCCGCGTCACTCAACGCGTGATTGTTTGCATTAATGAGTTTCTTAGCTTGTGTTAATGAATCATTTCGTCGATGAACGTTTCACGTGAAATCCGGAATTTCACGGAAATTCCCGCTCGAATCGTATAACATATTTACGGAAGAGCTTCGCGGATAGAGATAGAGCGGGAGACAAGGGAAGAAAAGAGACAGAAACAGAGTGAGAGAGAGGGAGAGAGAGAGAGAGAGAGAGATTCGGCGCGAACGTTCCTATATAAATCATCCGGCGTATTTCCGATCGTTCGGGAAGTTCGAGGTCGCGATCGATCACTTTCTCGTACTTCCTGCGTCCCCGACATCTGCATAAACGAATAAACATCAATCCCGTGCTATTGTTAGGTACGTCATTACGGCGCTGTGCAAGACCTGTCCGTGCCCCGACATCGTGATCGCGATCCTCTTCTGGATCGGGTACACGAACTCAGCGTTGAATCCACTGATATACGCGTACTTTAATCGCGACTTTCGGGAAGCGTTCAAAAATACCCTGCAGTGCGCCTTCTGCTCGCTCTGCAGACGGGAGCCGTCCGACCTCGAAGCGCTGGACTTCCGTCGGCCATCCCTCAGGTACGATCTGGTCTGACACATCGAGGTATGCACTTCATTCTATCGCTTTCTCTCCTTTCGGACCTTTTCTCGCTCCTCATCACTCCGTACTGTCGCGTTTGCTGCCGCCCTCTTTCTTGCCACCCTCCTCCCGCTCCCTCCACGGTTAGATCAAGTCGCTGTTGATGTTGTCGGGAATCGATCGATCGATCAGCCGCTGCTGTCATTGCCTTTCGTCGCTGCTACGGATTTACGGATATCCGCGTCACGCGCGTTCGATCGTTTCCGGAACGGGTACTCGTTTAATTTGGATTTGGAGTATTCAATCGTTCGATTCATGCCCGAGAAAGAGAGAGAGAGAGAGAAGTCGAGTCTGAAATTCCTTCTTTTCACAACGAACGTAACACGGTAACCGCTGAGAGATCGTGTCCGTTACGCGAAAAGACGTTTTTTTTTCTTTCGTGTAAGAAGTTGTCGTGCGTGTTTTACTTCAAACCGCGTTTCTCGAATAAGATTCGCGAAGCCGAGATGCGTCAAGAGCGACTCGTTCTCTTGAACTTTCAGTGGTGAAACGCGAGGATCCTTTCTGCGTTATCTAGTGCGTCCTGTCCTCAAATTATGCTACTTAACACTCTGCGGTCCGCCGACCTTACTCGACTCCGTCGGCCATATAATAATGGTGTCGCGCGGATTTTGACGTTACAGACCGCCAGTATCATTATGTTGCCGCGGTGTGAGAACATTCATGCCCTGGACATTTATTGAGCAAGGTGCGGTAACTTTAATAAGTTCCACAGGATATAATTTAGAAGGCTCGTCGATCTACAATCAAAATCGATCTACAATCAAGAAGACCCATTAAGAGCGAAAGCACAAATCGTTTAGCGCCATTGTGCGATGCGAATAGAATTATATAAACATTTAATATTAAGTTAAAGTTAAATCAAACGTTTCGATCTTTCATTCAATGGGGCGATTTACAAAATTCGTACAAATCATAACGAAATTATAGGTGCGATTAGTGAAATTAGGGCGAGCATTCGGCCGAGATAATTTTTAAGAGGTGTTCAGTGAACGATACAGCAGCTGCAAAGAAGCATCCATCGTAGCACAATGCAAACATCTTAAAGGCGCAAATATTTTCCATAGTAATACATCAAATTAATATTAAATGGCTTTTAATGGCCCTTCCCCTTGACATTTAATAAGTCTTTTTATATCGGCATTTATATATAGTCGGAGAAATGTTAAATATAGATTACAGACTCAGTTTGCTTGAGTCGGGTAGCGGTGACAGCTTCATGCGAAGGGCGGACCGCAAAGTGTTAAAATTGCGCAACTGACTCGCGACTATACTGCAGTTCCAGCTATTCCACACGCATGAAGCTTCAATTTAGTGTAATAATGCCCTAATCGCGATTTGTGTTTGCTGCTTGTATTCGAATCGTTGCATTGGAAGGTATCCTAACGCGCAAGTCCGCGTTTGATCGAGCAAGAAATGAAATCAAGCGCTTGATCAAAAGTATCTTGTGGAAAATCCGATCGAGTGCGAGGAAAGCAGAACGAACGCCCGGAGAAAACGTTGAGAAAGAATATGTTCGAGCCTCGGCGTTGTCATCAAACTTTATTTCCTTCATCCAAACGTTACGCTTAGTTCGTTGCCACATACACTAAGAGAGGCTGGTGTTCATAATCAGATCTTGTATTTAGGAACGTCTTAAATCCATCTTCAGATACTTCGTAGCGAATGAAATGATGTATAGAATAAACAATTTCTCTCATGAACAAGCACGGCTTTAAGAAATCGTATATTTTCTCATTTGAAAGAAATATTTTCTCACAATATTTCTACATTTGTATATATTTGTAAATATGTTATTAATACCCACTGAATAAATATTTATTTCCTTTTTACATATTTTTTCTCTCAACGTATCAGTAGCAACATGCATATAAAATTATTATCGCTAAAACAAATAGTACAATAACGCTTACTACAAAAAAAGATTCTCCTAACTAGAATTCGTCCACGATGCAATTATATATCACAAGTGCGAAACATAATTTTTTTCTCAGTGTATGTCACGCGAAATATCACACACACGCACGCGGGCGCGCGCGCACGCACACGCGACATCTGGAAACAGCTTCTCGTTACTGCGACCTAACGCGACGTTTATTATTATTATTATATGTATTTCATGCGCTCCGCGGTCATCCCGCGGCTATTGTACGATACTTTATTACACCGCCGGCGGCGGGAGAGCACTCGTGTTTTACATGCCGAGCGGCGAATGCGCGCGGCGCGATTATCGCGAGTTCGTATTCATTCCGTACGTTATGCTCGCGGTTCCGAGAAACGATCATTAAACCCATAAATTAAACCTAATTTAATCCCGCGATGTATGGCGTCATGTATCTCCGTTTCCATTCCCCCGCGCCAATTACTCCATTATTCGGTTCAATTACGTGTACTACGTATCGCGCGCGCGAACTGCATCCGTGATGATGCGCGATGGCAATTGAACTGAAAACTACGCGGCAATCAAAGGATACCGCGATGCGCGACTGTCCTTCTCGTTTTGCTTCGACGGCTGTTCTGCGACACGCGGTCCTCTCCGTAAGACCGCGCTTCGCGCAAGAGAAAAGACCAATGATAATTCTTTCGCTCCTTGTGCTTGGTGAAAATCGAAATTGAAGCTTCCGCAATTCTATCTGTCCCTTTCTGGCTTGTAAACTCAACTTCTTCAGGGAGATACTGACGCATGTTATATCTATGTATATTTCGTTTATATTTATAATTAGATTTTAGTTTCTTCCTTTCTCAATTTGAACACTGTCGATTTAATATAACGGATATCACTATGAATAAGCGCAAAGAGAAAAACGGTCTCGAATGACGGATATACTCATGTATAAATAAGAATATTATAATAATCATAGTCTTGAATATTTTTAGTCTTGAATCAAGTGCGAAATAATGCATCGATACAAATCCAATCGAGTCGAGACTGAAAAAATCCTTTAAGAAAATGATATTCTTGATTATACATGAAAATATCTATCATTAATTTAAGACTAATTTTTTCCCATGCAGTCACCGCGAAATTTCCACGAAGAAAAGAGAAATCTCGTCGGACGATTAACGAGTTATCAACCTTATTTGCGTTACTTTGAAAGAAAATCATTTCAACGAATTCATCCCTGAAGAGGTTAATTGTAACACACGTAGATCGACGCGTGTCAACGAGAAAATTTCGAATTCAGCGTCCGCTGTTTTAAACAATACACGCGTGAACATGTATGCGGAGCGGGCGCTGAGAAGTGTCTCAAATTTTCTCACTGACTCGGAGTAAGAATAAACGGGCGTCGACGTGCCCAAAGACAGATCTGTTTGCGCTGACTTTACGAAGGGAGTTAACTTCCGATCTGCTTGAATTCTGCTTTCAGATACGACGATCGAACTAAGAGCATATACTCCGAGACGTACATGAAGCACATCGACCGACGAAGATCGAGCGAGTTCGGAAGCAGTCTTTGAAACGAGACTATATTTAGATTCTAAGAGCATGTACGAGTACAAGAAAAACACGCATCCACATAGATCAAGAAGACGTGCAACATACACACACACACACGCGCATATCCACGTGCTATACATGAGCCCGCCAATGAACCATACATATTCGTTAACGCGTAATGCGACCTCTGTCCCGTCGAGACATCCTCCGCCACTTTTTGCCAAATAGACGAGAACGAAGGGGATGAAAAAGGGAAACTCTACCGATTTTCTTATGGCGACGATAAACACGCGCTGACCCACCCCGGATTTGACCCCGCGAATACACACACACACACACACACATATACACAAGTCGCGTATTGCCAAAGTTAGATTTTTAAGTAAGTTTCGCGTAAGCGCCGTTGCGCGAGGAGAAGCGCGTCGCTCTTCGCGCGAGGATCAATAAGATCGTGATTTCGCGGAGGAAACGGAAGAGGAGGTTCCGACTGAACGGCGAAAGAGCATCGGCCGGCCACAGCGAGAAAAGACGCTTGCTCCTTGCGGATATCCTGGCAGGATGCTCGGCTGAATATAACTCGGAGGAAGCCAACGACGATAGAAAGCCAGGGACCCGGTCGGTCCGTAAATCTCTTAATGTACTTCCTTAGTCAAGGCCGAAGTTGCGTCGTCTCTTTGATCGCGAGCCTCGCGAATATTTCGACCCAAGAGCGAGCGAGCGAGAGAGAGAGAGAGAGAGAGAGACTACCAGCGCGTTTATATCGGCCCAGCGAGCTCCGTGTTAAATTCTCTCGTCACCGATTTAATTCAATTATTTGTGAGACACGAACGTCCCACGGGAGACGGTCTCTGCTGATTCAAGATGTGTATTTCGCGCCGGTGAGAAACGTCTCTTAAACGTAAACGTTGACATTGAACGATAGGAATTACCGGACGACGACGCGTAGAAAATATGTACAATGTATACGATCGAATAGAGTTATCATTGGGAATTGTAGTCTTAAAGTTTCGGAAAAATACCGGGATTTTTCCTCATTTTCCCGCGGATTTCTTCGGGTTTTGTACCCATTCTCCCGAGGATATAGAAATTCGTTTAGAAGAATTCGCGTGTATTCGGTTGAAACCTGCTATATTTATGTTTTCCTCTTTTGTAAAGGAGCTGAGAAACAAAGAAGAATCGCAGAAATATTAGGAGAAACGGTTTTTTTCCGAAACTTTGAAACTGCATTGAAAATTATTCGGCTGAATGCTCGAACGCTCGACGCGTTTAAATTAATCAAACGAGGAACGAAGAAAGTAGAGCGTTGAGTCGATGAAAATTAGGGGAGATATCGGGAGCGGAGTGCAGTTAATCGATATTAAATTGGCTCAATGGTCAGTCTACTAGTGATACTGGTCGATGACGTACGATGACTCCTCCAACGCTCGGTCTCCGCAATTTTAGATCAGACTCGATGCGAGTACCCGGCCGATTTCAATTGCGCGTTAAATTCGGCCTCGCAATCGTTTGCCGGCGTGCGTTTTAAGTCGACGTCAAGTGGCTGAGAGGACATCGCGATATACACCGCGCCCTTAATAAGCGCGATGACGCGAGTTGCGTACATACCAAAGATACATGCGAGCGTTATCACACTCGTGAGACCAATCGGGGTCGAAATTTATTTTGAATTACGAATTTTATTTTGAAAAAGAAGGAAGAAATGCCTCCGACACGGTGAAAAACATTTTATACTCGTGTTAAAATCGGTCTTTGTCAAAATTTTTGCGTGCAGTTTCTAACACACCCGTGTATTGATTTAACACGTTGAATGCCACGCTGATTTCCATCGATCGTACAAACGCCTAATTGATTCAATTAAATCATTAAAGCTGCAGTAAATAAATATAATTCGGGACACGCATCTGTTAGCTTGTTTCATTAGCTCATTACTGGCCGTACAACCTATTTTGTAGATGCAATTAATTATACGTTACACGTAATTTAATAAAACGCGGTAACACCACAGCGCCGGTCACAAATGATCCCCTCGGCATTCGACGTGTTAACATATTGTATTATGTTTATGTTACCTCGATATATTCCGTGTTGAGTCGAAATTCAACATGCATAAGTGTCGAAATAATATTTTTCCACTTCAATGCCGATTAACGCATTATGATCGTTAATTTTGTCTGAATTTTCGTCGTAACATTTGTGCTACCTTTCAACATACTCGTCTTGTGTTAAATCGACGCAAAAATTTGCGCGGACCGTTTGAGACACCATATGAAATGCGTTGAATTAAACACGACATTTTTACCGTGGACGCGCGGTCGACGCACGTCGTTCGTAAATTCGTTGTGAATTCGAAGGCTTCGGCGTTGAGCTGCGAAATCGCGCGCGACGCGGGGCGCGTCGTTACCACCGCGATCGCGTCGGCAAGTCCGCCGAAGGATTATAATCTGCTAATAGTAGTTCCGTCGTCGCGTTACTCGTGCAAGTCAAGCGACTTCTCCGCTCTTAATCGCAGTCGCGAAATCACCGCTAAATCCGGACTACTCTCTCATATTTGCGCCGCAGTCTCAAATTCCCGACGTCGGCGGCGCGGGAGCGTTTCATCGGCGCTTGGAAATTAGCGCGATAATAACAACCACGGAAGGTTTCCGCGCTGTCGAACCGAAGTCCCTCTCGTGCGGACCTCGGGAGAGTTGCTCGCGCGCTCCTTACGGCCACGTGGTTTCCGTGTAACGACAAATCGCGACGGTATCGTCGCGCGCCGCGTCGCTGACAACGCGCGAGAACAAGTGGGCGTCACGACGAAGGGATCGAGCGACCTCGGCGATTAAGGCCGACCTAATTTGTTAATTCCCGGAGAGTGCGCTTTCCAAAGTGAGGAGTTGCTCTCTGGTCGTTTCCAGAGAGTGAAGGTCTCCCGAGATCGAGGTCGACCCGAGCCCACCGTCTCCGTCTCGGGAGCGAAACGCGTCGTCGAACTCTCTCGGTTCCTACGCGCGGAGAAAAATTTCCCGCTGGCACGGCAAATTTGTCCGTTACAACGGTGACCAGCTTTTGTTACACGGAAGGAATAATCGTGCTTGTCCCAGCAAAATGTCGTCGCGACAGATACAGTTTAGCTGACGTAATTAGCAATTAGTACTTTTAACAAATCTCCTCGCTACCGATGTAATAATAACGAACAATTTGCTGTGTCGGCGAAAATTCGTTTCTCCATGCGATCGCGCGAGGCGCATTCGTCCTTGTCGCTCTCTCTCTGTGTTTCCGCGTCCGCGTGTCGACCAAGCGTGCCGTGTAATTAGCCGCGCGCCTCCCCGGCTGCATCATTACCCGGGGATTCCCCGCGAAACTCGCAGAGGTCGTTCGAGGTCGCGTCGGTCGGATTTTAAGAGATAAACCTCCACCCCCGCGTCTATACTCGTTCTCCGTTTCTCTGCTCGCTCGTCCTACGGAGCGTCCCGCTCGCGAGAAGAAACTGGTCTCCGGATTTGAACGAGCGTGCGGCGGACGAAGGAGAAAAGCGATCGAGAGAGAATCTCTCCGGCTTTCCCGGAACGGACGATCGCGAAGCTGCAGCCCAATTATCACCCGGAGTCCGATGCGGATTCGCGTGTCTCGTCCCCGTACACGGAGAAAAATAGCTCGCTGACACGACAAGTTTTGCGGCTGTCGCGCGCAAAAACTCGTCGTCGGTTATTATGCGGAACGGCCGAACGATTTGTTAAGAGCACCACTAATCACCGCTCTCGCTGGATTATTTTGCTGAGTCTACAAATGATTCCGCGGCAAGAACAAATTAGTGGATGTAGGGAAACAGTATTTTGTGTTCTAACAACGAATTTTAACCTGTCCCGGTGATAAGTTCAGCTCAGCGGAATATGTTCTATCCTGGCAGCGAAACTTCTGTTTTCGTTCACGGAGGAAACACTATGGGGATTATCACCGAATATGGTTGCCGCAACAAAATATCGATGTTAATTTTCGTCCATACGTACGAAAGAACTGTAGGAATCATAAATAATCTGGAAGTGACCTGCATGACTGCTCTCACATTCACGAGGACAGTCGTAATATGGATGTTAGAACCGACATTGATGATACGTCTATAAGGAATTTGAAAATGCATTTGCATAATATATTGATAAAATAAAACTTTCGAGCAGTGCTGGGGAGAAAAGAAAAGAAGCTGTCATTGTTAACACAATGAGCCGCTTGAGATGAGCACGCGGATATTAATCACGATTGTTCGGTGGTTCATTGTTGAGATGATGAACACGTAAGTTTGTTGCTACAAAAATCGAGTGAGAAATCTGCTTCCTCGCATCTGACCGACTTGCTGTTCGACAAGTGAAATATCAGCCTTACCGCGTTTTGCGTGTCAAAGTCGTCAGATTAATACGAATTCCTCAAATGTGGTATTTGTTTTGCAAACCGTAACAGAGAAGTAGCAATATTTTTCGGCTGAAGCTAATTATATATATATATGAGGATATACTGATTACGCATCACATGGCTGTGAGAAATGTATAGATGCGCATGCGTCGATAATAATTTTTCATTTAATATTTATTTATAATTAGTACCTTGAATTCGTATTCATTTCTTTTTCAACCATAGAGACTGTGTTTGTAGCAATAGCAGCAGTTTTTCCCGTGCTCTAATTACGAATAATTCTCTAATTCGGTCACGCCGATTAAATTCGATCGTTGTCGCAACGAATGTGCAGTAGCATCGACGATTTCGTTACAACAGCGAAATTATTTTTCTCCATGTATCCTTCCCGCTTCTCTCTGCCTCGTCGCGTCCTCACTCGGCGAGGATCGCGCCGAGACTCGCGTCTCGAAGGTACCCGAGAGACTCCAACCGATTGAAATCTAGTCATGCGCAGAATAGAGAATTATAGTTTTATTTTAAAGGCTCTGCAAAACCAAGTATTTTTTCAATTTTTTTCGTGGTTTACTCGAATGAACGAAAAAAATCATGAAAAAACCGGATTTCTCAATTTTTCCACAGATTCTTTTCGATTTCTTTCCGAGGAAAAGTGTGAAAAAACGGTTTTTTTATATTATATGGAGAATCCCCGGATGAAAAAGAGAGAGAGAGAGAGAGAGATAATGCAATTTTCGCGAACGATCGAGCGCCGTCGCGTCAGTCCGTCACGTCGATGATTATCGTCACGGTCGTGTCGACGAACGGATTAGGATTTGATCAATTAATCGTTTAAAACGTTCGCATGAGCGAACGATCGCTGCGAGCGCGGGCGATTGGCGGTCGCGTGCGGATCACGTGCCGCGCGCTAATTGCCGATTATCGGCGCGACGATCGCTCGGGAGAAATCAATGATACGTTTAATATACACGACGATATGTCAATGAAGTGCTCAGTCAGCGTTGTTATCAGTAGTGACTCTCGGCGTGCACGGACTCTTATCGGTCGCGGCACCTCGGCGACGAGCGATCGCGACGACGTCCCACCGTCCCGTCGAGCTCGTCGCGCGGGGCGAAGCTCATCGACCGCGACGGCGAAATTTCTCTTCCCGAGTTCCTTCCCGCTCGAATCGCCCGCGTTAATCGCATTTCCTCATCCCGAACGTCCGTCGAACGAAGAGCGTATCGTAACGCGATCGCTCGTTTCCGATTTTCTCCATCGCCGGTAAAAAAAAAAAGACGCACACGTATCCCGTTCTTCCGAGTCCGGCTGACGAGCGGGCCGTCGCGATATTGGCAAATAATTCGGTCGACGTAATATTGCGTAACAGAAAACGGTACACACATACACACACACACACACAGATATACGAACACATGTACGACGTATAAATTGGTGTGTTGTGTGCGTGTCTCTTCTACCAATATCGCGGTCTGTAACACCCACAATCATTACATTTGGCAGATCCAGTTTTGTCCGGAGGGAAGAATTATCACAAATGCAACGCACTATATATAGTAAAAACTTTGTATTAAAAACGATCCGCGGAAGTTGTTCACTTTGACAAGGTAAATATGTTAAGAAGCTATATGTTAATGCGATGAATATGTTAACATATGTTCAACATGTGTTTGTGTACTTTTTACCATATTCCATCCCGAAGAAACACAATTTCAACGGGCTGTTTTTAATACAAAATTTCTTACCGTGCGAGTCGCCCCGTGTGACGACACATAGTAAAAAAACATTTTATACCTGTGGTAAAATCGGTCTTTGTTAAAATGTTTGTATGAAATTCCCCACACATCTGTGTGTACTAATTTATCATATCGCGTTTACGTTATCTCAATATTTCATGTTGATTCGACATTCAACATACGTAAGTGTCAAAGTAACACACTTTATACTACTTCAGTATGTCGAACACATCATGGATATTAATTTTGCGGATAACTTTTCACATACAATTTGTGTTACTTTTCAACCCTATCATTCACCCTGTATGAAATTAACGTAAAAAATTAGACGGACCGTTCGGGACGTGTGAAACATGTTAACGCGAAATTTTTCACTGTGTTCGACGGAATCCGAATCGACCTTTTTCCCGCAGCTTCCGCGAGGAGAGCGCGACGCGGTATTTTCGATTTGCCGATCCCGACCGCCTCGAAGCTGATTTCATCGCGTTTCGTACGTTTCGTCTCGAGCGACCATCCACTGCTCGTCGTGACGATTCAACACGCTTCGCGCGGCGACGCTGTTCGTTCGCGCGATCGCGGCCGCGAACGGTCTTGCAAGGAGAGGAGTTAGTAATAATAATCTCATCAGACACTAGCCACTCGATCGATGTACAAAGTTTATTTACAACGTCACGCTACGCTGTACGAATATGTTATTCGATTTTCTTCTGTGATAAAAGTTAGGGAAATGAGCCGCCGAGTTTTATGTAATTCGCCGTTACCTGTAAATAGTTTGTAAATATATCTATGTATGTATTTGTTTCTCTCGCGCGTTACCGTAGTTACCGACGACGAGACTAATTGTGCAATAATTACATTAAAGAACGTTTCTTCCTCTTTCGGTAATCTATTTGTTACTTTCTCGAACCGTCGTCACGCACTGACACGCGCGTGCCGACAATCAAACGCGGACGTTACCGACCGTTAGACCGTATGTAAGTCGTAGTAGGTGAATAATTCATAGGGATGAGCTGACGCGTCTCTCGCGCGTGTCCGGAAAATTTTCCTCTCCGCCGCGTCGCAACGCGGCATCGGCATTAACAAAGCGACGCGTCACCGCGATGTGCGTTTGATTTTCACCGTTCCTCCCATTTTTCTCGCCGGAAGAAGAATCACACCGCGAAAGTAGCGATAAATTTGACGCGTCACACGCGCGGGGAATTCATTCCCCATTCGATGCGATTTTAAATCCGCGACTCGTATTTACGGTACGGGAAGGTGCTCGCATATCCCGTCTGTTTCCGCGAGAAAAAAGCGCGAGGGAAGAATGTAGCCGCGATGCTGACGTTATTCAATAACACCGGCACGGACTAAAATGGCGGTATCGTGATAGAGATTTTTTTCTCCCGCGCAATATTATGGCGGAAAGAAATGGGATATGGAAATACTTGTTTTCATCCGGCCCAACGCGGAGTAACGCGTCGGCATCGATTTTTCCATATGACAATGACATATCAACGCCACATCGCGACGGAATCACGGTGTGCGGTAAGCACACCGAGCTTGCACGCGAGAGAGATTGCGTTTTCTCATTCGCTTCTTGGAAGCACAGAACACCGGGGAGTCGCGCGCCAAGTGTGCCGTCTGCGAGTCAACCGTGCGAATGAAACCGCATCTCCGTTCGTCGAAGAGAGAACGTGAATCTTGCATTCGCGCATCCCCAGTGGCGTTTCCACCCCCTCTCTGTTTCGTTTCCGGGCCGCGCGATGACGCGTGTCCGGCCGGAAACAACGTTCGAACGATAGTCGGTCCGTTCGTGGCACGTCCTGCTCGAAATTCACGACGATTCGTTCGACGATGAAAAATCGCCGTTCGATTTCGATCCCGCGGGAATCAATCGCGGAAAGCTCTCTGATTCGCTCCGCCGCTTCGCGATCCGGCTCGTCGTATCTCATTTAGCTCTCTTATCATTTAATACACTTCTCCCGCTTTAATTCTCCCGCAATTGAATTCTTCGCACGCGCTCGTACGCGCGGAATATGTACGGTGTTAATAATACGATGTCATCTTCTTTGAAAGAAGAATCCTTGAGGGTAGCTTTGTCCTCTCACGAACCATTGCACGGTAATTTCAGTACGCGCAAGTGGATCAAGGGAATACTCTTTCTCTCGCTGTTTCGCTTTTACTCTACGCGCCGCAATCGATAATCAGCCGAGAATAAAATTGCCCCTCTCCCGTCCCCTCTATTTTATCGCGGGAATCGCGCATTTAGATGATGCATTTCTGATCACGAGAGAGAGAGAGAGAGAGAGAGAGGAGACCTCGGGGAGGCCTTGGCTCGGGTGTGCGAACAGGCGGGACGCGGTCGTTCGCGCGGATTGTCCCGCGGATCATCTTTGAATCCTAACAATCTCGTTAAGCCGGAAGTATGAACGTCATGAGTCCCGTTCCTCGCGCGGGGAATCAATTCACGTCGCCGACGAAGCCAAACGATCGGGCCGAAGCTGGTGCGTGCGAGTGACGTTTCCAGGTCGCGGAGATGGACTTCAAAGACGCGACGTTTTCTATTCTCTCCGTTTCCTTCGCGGGGAATTAACTATTCCTCGCGAAACGCTCGACGCTGGAAGCCTCGGCCGCGAACTTACGCTGCGTGTGACGAGCGGCGAACGAGTTTGCAATTTTAAAAGTCGCGTCCCGCCTCGCTCGCTTCGAGCGAAATCCGCCTTCCTTCGTGCGCCGTTCAGCGCCCACGGATCGCACATGTCTGATTTTGCAGCGCAATTTCTCGTTTTAAACGCGGTACGATTTTCATCCGTCGCTCCTCGACGAAAGTGACGTAGTTCACTGCGCGACACGCGTACCGTGTCCACTTGTGTCACTCGATAATTCCGAATACGTCGAGATTATTCGCGCGTGAGCGCGAGAAAGAGAGAGAGAGAGAGAAGAAGAAGGGAACGTATATTATAATATCAGTTGTTCGGGTGATTTATTTTTATCGTATTATTGAAGCGAGACCGGGAAGCACGTTTTAATTCCGTTAATTATTCATTGATGGAGAGAGAGAGAGAGAGAGAGAGGCGTCGAAGGTAAAATATGCGCCTGCATACACACGCAAAAAGGGGAACAATGGCAGGCGCGATTATAAAATGTGCGCGAGAACGTGATGTTACGTTAAAGAGACGCACGATGCGCGAGCGACTCGCGCGCTCTCAGAAATAAAAAAGCTAATCTCGATAAATTTTAATCCGCGCGCCGTCATTAAAGGTCCGGCTTTATAGCGGCGCGATTATATCGCGGCCAAGGGGAGAGAGGAAAAATGCACTCACGGTGCTAGGTGAGTATCATGCTACAATCGAGCTCCAATTTAATCAGATTTCCGTTTTAATATCACTCACTTTGCAACCGGCGATCTCTCCTACCGACTGCCCCCCCCCCCCTCTTTCTCATCTTCTTCTCACTAATTCTCCACCCTCCTCCCCCTCTCTTTCTCTCTGTCCCTCATTTTATCCTCTTTGCGGCAACGCGTTCTAAAGCCGGTCGAAGCGAATCGCTCCGTAACTTTGGCGATCTGGAACCCGGGGACTCTTCTTTATTAACTATGCGTCGGCGAAATTAAGAGAGAGAGAGAGAGGGGGGGGAGGGGGGATATTAACGAAATTTCCACTCTAAGTTCCTGCCTGTCTCAGCAAATCCCGTAGAATAACGTAACTCTCGGCAAGTTCACGCGCGTTCGACCGCGCGTTCGTTCGTTTGCGCGTCTTACAGAATTGTTAACAGCTCGTATCATACGTGGGGGGTAGGGGGGAAGGGAGAAGGGAGGGGATTTTACTACGTTGTTCATCGTCGGGGAATGCGTTGAAGCATAGACTTGGCGAGGTACAGACGGACGCGCACGAGAAAGGGGAACGATGCGGGAGTTATTACGCGGGAAATAGACGCGAGAGCGAGCGTGTGCGTCGTACATGCGGAGAACGCATATAAGTAAGTAACGAGTCACACGCGTGTGTGAAACTATCTTTGTTCCCGAACCTCATTTCGCCCGATTCCTCTCGATCGGCTTCGCTTCATGCGCGCGGAGTAATTTCGCGCGCGATTTAATATCAGCGGTCAGAATATTTCCCTGCGCGTTGTTAATTAATATTACATTTCACGTGCGCGCGCACGCGTTGATTTCATCAGAGACTATCGTGCGACGTATGCGAGGATCTTCGCAATAACGCCGCTGGTTCCAGAAAAGAGCCCTCCTCCTCCATCGTCGAAACGGCAATTCGATGCGATTCGGCTGCATTATGTAACCAAACGTGCAACATATTTCGTTGCACCGAGGGAAAATTTGGCGCGCGCGCGCGCGCGCGTTCGGCCGCGAAACAAATCGCCCGTTATTCGGCGTAAATAGTTTTTACCCGCGTTTCCTGATAGAATCGGCCGCGTTTTCCACGAGTCATTTATACAGAACGGAATTTATCGTACACGAGAGCCGCAACACGGCGTAAAGTTGCCACCAACGAGCGCGGGGAGATCGTACGACTCGCGTAGGAAAGCAAATTGGCTTTCCCGAGACGGATCGAAGCCGCGCACGCGATGTGCTTCAAAAAACGGAGCTTTTCGCGCTCAGAGGCGGATGAAAAACGGATTGCGCTCTCCTTGAGGGGGAAAATCGCGTTACTGTGCCGGATAACGTTGAAGAGGAAAAAAAAGAAGCGGAAAAGAAAACAAAATATCGAAGTCCTCCGCGATCGATCGCTCGCGATACATTCAGCGTAACAATCGACGCTGATACGACGGGAGTAGTTAGAGTGCCGAGGCGGGTGAAATAAGGCGAATGAAGGGATAAAAGCCTCCCCCCTCCCCCTCCTCCTTCACTTCCTCTTTCAGCTCGTCGTCCTCCTTATTCTCCTCCTCCTCCTCTCGTCGAATTCGCCGCGCGAGGATTCTTGACCAGACAACCCATCCTCGTCTTCGTGAGAAGTAACGCAAGTAAGTTAGGTAACTTGAAAAGTTTGTAGGACATTCGAGGAACAGACGAGAATAAATGGTGAAAGCGGGGAATATAAGGAGGCGAGTTACGACGTACGTATGCAGGACGCGCGCTCGCTCTTAGACTAGTTCATTCCTTTTATATCCTTATTTCATTCCGCCGGTATCACGTCAGAGCGAGAAGAAGAAGAAGAAGAAGATGATGTATAATTCTCATCCGGGCAAACTCGTCCCGAGCGTCTTGTCTGGAACGTCGCGATCGGTTTCGTCGACCGTGGCGGGGAGCCTCGTCGACCGATCCGAGATTCGATTTCGCTTCGATCGAAATTTACCGAAACATCGTGGTTCGCTATAAAATTCTTCATATCGCACGCGGGGTTAAGTGAAATTTCCGACAGTCGAGAGCCTTCGGTTGATATTTAGAAAAAATTGATATTTTAATTGGGATATCTTCAAAGCAGGTAAGAAAAGCGTTGCATCATCATTCTTAATCGTGGCACGGTTTTCTTCCGTTTTCATCGTCGCCATCTTCTGAAAGCTGTATCTCAAAAACTAGCCTTTCGCGGGCATGTGTTTACCAGGACTTTTTTTTTCTCAACATAGAGTCTGTCACGTAAATTTGTCGGTGGAGTTCAAATACACCCCTGATACATTTGTCGCAAGGTAGTATTACAATGCAATAACACGCGTGCCGCTCTCTCAGAGGATCACAGTATCGCAAACGATGTCTCAGCGAACCGATCGACCACTAGCATCAAACCACAATTGAATACCTTCGTTACAAGCTCGGCGTGCATGTAAAGCCTTAGAACCGCGAGCGTCGTCGAGACGATGCGGGTCTTGCTTGGCGATGGCGTTTTCGCCTCGAGTCCGCTGGGGAATCGGACTTCGGCGGGTCCGATCGTAGTGCAACATTTCCCATTCAGATTCTGATTTCAGAATTCAATAACTCAACATGCTCCACGTACGGAGGGAAATTTTCTGCCGAGCACAGCAAATTGTAGCGTACAGCAGAAAGACTTGTTACACGGAAAAAATAACTTTGCCGTTTTAACAAAACGTCGTTCTGACAGCAACAAAATTTCGTTGGCGTGACCGAATTATTCCGCTGTTCGCATATCCGACAAATAGCAATTAGTACTCTTGACCGATCTTTTCGCTGTCACAAATGGTAATTAACAATTTGCCGTGCTAGCAAAATATTTTCCCCCGTGCGAATAACGCCCGGACCGGATGATTATTTTCGAACGTGTTGGAGAGGACGACTTCGAAATTTCGACGACATTTCGACGACGACGCTCGTTTTCCTCGATTCAACTTCTCGGAGAAACAGGACGATCCGAGGGCGCCGGATAAACGCGAGTGCACTCATTGTATTATTCCCGCCCGTATTAACTCTCGAAACGCGATCGTGTTGATTTAATGAAATGTACAACGACGACGATGTAATTTGGAATCCGACGAGCAACCGTCAAGAGACCGTATCCTCTTCCAGGATACTCTCTCCGCGTCTCGCTCGTGGCTTCTTCGCGCGATCTTCACTCTCTACATTTCGACGACAAGACCGCCCGTGGATCCTCCTCGCATTAACGCGTCGTCCCGTTCTCTCGCCCGCTTCTATTCTCTCTTCCGCGCTCGTCGACGCCACGGGATGGAGAACGGGCCCGTTTTTCGCGCGAGAAAACGGAGCAGCGTGGATTCTTATTTCGCCTCGGGGAATACAATGGCCGGTACTCCCCACGATTGTCACCAATGAAAACGCGAAATCCTCCCCCTTCCCCCTCTTCAGAGCTGTTTATCTGTACCACGAAGAAGAGAGAGAAAGAAAAAGAGAGAGAGAGAGAGTGTGTGTGTGTGTGTATGTGTGCGTGAATTATCGCGCTTCCGGCGAATAAAATTAAACCGGGAAAGGAGCGTTGACCGCGGCGAGTCATCGCAGAACCCGCGAGAGAGAATGACGGGGAATGTTCTCTGTACGAACGCCGTCAACAAAGTGATACGATAACCGAGTTTATTCCTCGCCGAAACGAAAGACGGTGTCTCTCGGTTTCCCCTTGGCGGCCGTAATTCATGCGCTCCTCCGTACAGGAGGTCCCCGAGTTCCACGAGTCGATTACTTCTCAACGAAGACGTGAGTGCACAGATGTAAAGGGGATAAATTATGCACCGAGGCTGTTGTGATTCGCGCGCGACGTAATTCGATCTCCCGACGAGCCTCTCGAGCAAACTTCTCTGTACACTTTTATGCGAGCGTGACTTTCGTTTGAACACACCGCAGCGTCGTATTTGGTAGAAAAATAATCGCGGAGGACTCGGGAACCATCCTGTATGCATGGCGCTCGCGAACCGAAGCGAAACGTAAAGAAACAACATAGGCAAACAACATAGACAATCAACGGCACTGATAACAGAGAGTTTCGCCCGTAATTGTGGCCCGCGCCATGCGCGTACGGCAGATTATTAATTAGTAATAATTACATGCATATTGTGCAATAAATGCGAACTAATCTGAGATTAAACTGAATGTCTTGTACATAGTGAGTGTATAAATTATCACTGTATAGCGATCACACACACGATATACTTAGCCGCGGAGTATGCGATTGTATTTGAGATGTTCACTATTTCTTTTTGTTATGACTTATTTAATTAAGATTGGTCGAAATAAAGATTGTTTTTCGAAGTCTGTCTACCACCGTATCTCTCCTCCTCACCTCCCGAAATATCGCTGATCACTCTTGGATGAAAACACAGCGAGTTCCTTTTTTTCCACTAATCTGCCATTAATCACGCGGGAATTGCGAAAAGCACGACATTTATTTTCCCGCCTTCGCAGCGAGATGGGAATGTATTTCTCTGCGAGTCTAGCAGTGAATGGATTGGAATAAATTACATTCCCTTTCCTCTGCGACGATTCGTTGTAATAATTATTTATTTATTTTATTCGTATTTTATTCATTTACTTATTTAAACGGAAGGTACCCTCTGATTTACAAAAGAAAAATTAACGGGAGAAAAAAATATATTAAAATGTCAACCACAATTTAGATTTCAATATAATAATGATGAATAAATAAATAATCGCAATAAAAAAATTCAAGATGAGAGGACACGAGTCGGGCAACGTTTGAGCGTATTAGTTGAGTTGTGAGATATACCAATAGAATCGGAAAACTCATTAGCCAATATATAAATCCGAGTTAATTGAGTTGAAACAGCTATAAGTTTTACGATAAGATTTAATAAGGCATCCTTTTCTCTATGGAGAAACAATAAACTTATCATCCTTCAAGAGGTCCGAAAAAAGTCCGAAATTGCCGCCACATTCCTAAACATCTCGCGAATTTCGCGCGTATTTGCCGCGATGTGCGCGATATAATTTCATGCATCTCCGATTGCGTCGAGTTTATTTAAACGCGCTCTGCAATTCCGGGAGTTGCACACCGCGGGTCTAACACTTTTAACAAGCAAGCGACAGCTCGATAGAGTTTCACAATGACGGAATCATCGCAGGTAGGAAAGTACGCGCGTCGAGATACGTTATAGAGGAGGAAATATTTAACAATACACCTAAACACGGCGATGAAGCGTCGTCATGATCCCGGCGTAGCCGTTGCGCATTGCAGCAACCCCAGCACAAACACAGCCCTGTGTGTGTAGCTATTGCAGCGACCGGCTGCGTATATATATGTGTATGCGTTTATGTATATGTGTGTGTGTGTGTGTGTATACGCGGAGGCGTCGGCGGTAGCGACGGCGGCGGCAGTAGCGGTAGCTCGTTACAACTCCGCAAACTACCGTGTAACAGCCGCGGCGTACGCGCGAGATGCACCAGGTTTGCTTTATTAAAAAGATGTTTTGGCTAATTAAATAGTCCCACCGTTGTTAGCGCGAGCGCCGCGCGCCGGTACGCGTGTTTCGCGTAAAACTAATTAAAACGCTTACGCTGCGCATACAGAACGATAATAACCGGGGAGTATCAAAATGGTCGCGGGAAATCTCGTTAAAAAGAAGGAGAGGGAGAGAGAGAGGGAGAGAGAGAGAGAGAAAGTGAAGTTTACCTAAACAATAATAAAGCGGAAAAAAGAAGCGCACGCGAAGCTGGGAGAGCTGCCGCACGCGAAACTGTGAAAGCTCGCGCGTAACGTAACGCGAGATATTAGCGCTCAGAAGCCTCCGGTAATCTCGAATATCGCCGGTTACCCGGGGATTTTATCGACGAGAGTGCGCGATTCAGCGCGGGCGAGAAAGCGCAGACGGCAGCTGGTGAGGATGTTACGCACTTCGCGCGTAAAATGCGACTACCGTTTTCTCGCGTTAACACGTCGACTGCCGTGCTGACGTCGCCAATGACCGACGCTTTAACACTGCCGTGTCTCACTAATTTACGTAAAAAATAAGACGCAACCACAAACATAACTTAGTATAACAAATTGAATATGCAGAGTGGGATAATGATTGTTACCGCCATGAATATTCTCGAGAAATAAAAATATTTTATTAACGAGTTGGTATCAATGCAACTTCTGTATCTCGGAGATATTCAAAGTGGTGATAGTTATTGTCTCACCCTGTACAGCCGATAAGGAGCCAATGAGACGAGCCGAAGAATGTAGACATCGCAAATTTATATGCATTGCCCTTTTTGTTTTACCACATTTCCGGCGATTAAAATCCCGAGATGAGCGTTGAAGTAATGAGTGGAGATTTTTTTCCCCTACTTTCGCATATTTCGAAGATATATATTCAAAGTAGTAGTAGTTACTACTTCATCTTAGATATAGTCAATGAAACGAGCTAACGAGAGTTTACATTGCGAATTGTATTTATTTACCGCGTATTTCGTGTTTAAAACTCGAGGTGAGCGTTGAAATAATCAGCGGAACGTTTCCTCCCGCTCCCATATTTCGAAGCTATTAAAAGCGGTAATAGTTATTACTTCACTCTACATGCAGCCGATGAAACGAGCTAACGAAAGTTTACATCGCGAATAGTATTTATTTACTGCGCCTTCGGTGATTAAAACTCGGGATGAGCGGTGGAAATAATCAGTTCTTTCCTACTCCTAGATTTCAAAGATATTCAAGGTGGTAACAGTTATCGCCTCACCCGGTATAGCTTTACCGCATCTTCAGCGGGATTAAAAGTTAAGATGAGAGTTGAAATAATCAGTGGAAATGAGTGTAGCGGACAACGCGTTGATATCACGCGCATTGACATCAAACGTACATATTGGAACAGCGTGTGTACTTACGAGGGTAATCGAACGTGTCGCGATCGGCCGAGCGACCGAAAGAAGTGAGAAATTCACGTTTGACACGGGACAATTAACGTCTGGCCGAATTAATTTCGCGCACTCATCGAACGAACACGCTCGGGACGTCGCGGCCAGCGGTGCGATAATTGAGAACAGATCGGAGCGCGATTCTCGCGGGAAGAACGAGCGGAATCATTTCGATCCGCCGTCTCCGATTGGAGTTGAATTACCGCGAGCGGCGTTGCGTTAACGCAATTTCTTCAGAGGGAACAACGGAGGCGCGAGGGACGCGTGATTATTCAGCCGTTGTTGCCGCGAGATCTCATTCAGAGACGGCGATGATCTATTGCTCTCGGGTTAACAACATTTCCTCGTTAACGTGTATTTGCTATTCCTCGTCAAAGTTCACTCATCATCTAATTCGGTTTGCATTCAGCAACGGAAACGGAATCGGGTAACCTCATAATGGAATGTACTCGACAGACGGCGCTTCATCGCCTTGTCTCTCTCTCTCTCTCTCTCGGACGACTAGACCGTGTTCTTATATTTATTACTAATTTATGGTCATTCGACTACCCTTTGATTACTGGTACGTGATGTAAATTTTCACCCGGAAATAAATAAAGATGGAAAAGCAGTCGGGAGACGTTAAAATAATATTTGCAATCTTTGAAGCTTCTTGCTTTCGTCCAACGGAAATACGAGACTCGATGCTAAAATATAAATATTTAATTGTTATAGTAAAATACTAGCAGAACATAGACGACATTCCGATTCGTGACGTTGCAGTAGATACAGCGTCACGCTGCTTGAAAGGTCCGCCTGATCTGTCGTCAGGTCGTACTACGACCTCGATTTCAGTCAGTGGCGGTACAGTGGCGGCTCACAGCGGAGACTGCGACTACACTTTGAAGTAATAGTCGATCCGCCGGACCAGGTGAAACACAGCTGACAGACTGGCTGGCGCCATTTGGCGGTGCGGCGTAGAGACCGCGAGTCTCGGCTGAGTAAGGTTTGAGTCCCGGCTGAATGCGAGTTTTTCGGCCAAGTAATTCGTTACTTTTAAACCAGTCCCGCTACGAGCCGCCACCATTCCCGACGAAAAAGTCGTTGCGAGAAAGTAATGTCGTAGTATGACTCAACGGTAGGTCAAACACCTCTCATTACTTCGAGACGAACAATGGGTGTGTTCCGTCAGTTCCATTAGGAATGTCCTTGGCAGTGCTGTAATCAACTTCGTTATATTCCGTATGTTTTGTAATAGATCAGGCGATAACGCGACTCGCCCATCTGCTTTATCCAGCGGAGAAGTATTTTTACTTTTTATTACAATTATCAGTCAATTAATTATTTGTGAGAAAACAAACGTTAATTTTAATCTCTCCCCTCGTACGTAAAAGTGACGTGAGACGCGAGATAATATCGCGCTCGATCTAATCGCGTTGATCGCGCGAGAATCGGATTATCGGCCACTAATTTCGAACTGCCGACCCCGATAGAGGCGCGTGAAAGCGCCGAAAACAATGCGCGAGGAGCTTCCTCGAAACACCACGGGTGCATGGGCGAGCATTTCGAATTGCAATTTACGCGCGTGCGGCGCAAGTTGCGTACGAAGAATCGGCGACCCGGTTCTCGTCGAGCAGAACTTTCCTTCTCCTTGAACTTGAGAAATCAACCGCGTGCCTCTCGATCGCGCGCCCGATCATATGTCACAGCGGCGGCCGGGAAAGTTATCCGAGCCCGCAGATCCACCTCTCGGTCCTTTTCAAGGTAAGAGACCCGCGATCCCCGCTGTCGAGGCTAATCGTCAGGTGCGTCACGTCCGACAACACCCTAAACGATGTAATCGATGCGAGACTTTTGTCGCTTTTACCCCGAGTCGCATCTTCGGAGCGAAAGCGCGTCCTTCAAATGTCCACGCCGTTTAACGTCGCCGTTTAACGTCGCGCGCGCACGTTTGCCGCTACCGCCGTTCGCGTTTAATTACACACTGAGGATTACACCGGCAATTATCGCGTTAGCGAACAGGCGAACATTGCTGTTACCGATTACTGGTGTTTAATTCGCTAATTGCTTCTTCATTAGCGATCTCACGTGGTCTCCGTGAATCATCGATGTTTCGTTATCTCCTCGATAGAAGAAATGAATCGAACGGATGAGACTGCATCGTGTAACTTTCATTGAGACGGACGAGAGTGAAGAGATGAATAATATGTTGAAAAACGTCACTTAAGTGAACATTCTCTATGTACGTTCGCCACCGTCGAGGAGCGAGAAGTACGCATGAGATACGCAGGATTTGCTGCGCCTCTCGTAATATCCCCGCGTCGAAGCTCGGCCACCACGTCGATTGGCTGTCGAAAGCTGACGGTATCGATATCAATCCGTTCCTCGGATTTCCTCCTCGTTGCTCTCTCACGAGCCACGGTGTGTTTTGGCCTTAATAGTTCGCTCGACGGCGAGCAAGCAGGTGGACGCGCGCGCTTCGTGCGTCAGAAGAGCCGAGGAGAATCAAGCGAGTAAGATAGAGAGAGAGTTCGAAAGTAGGCCTCAGTCGTTCAGTCAGTTGTCGACTACATGTCCGGACGATTGGTCGGCGTAATGGTGAGTTTTCGAGCGTCGCCGGCGAGCGTTCTCCCGTTGGAAAGGCACCGAGTGCGAATTTTCGCGGAGGCGAATTTGCGCGCGTGTCGCCGTTCGTTTTTACTGCGCGCGCGGCGCCGGTCGCGTGCTCGCACGCACGCGGAAATCGTCCCAAGTGATTCGCCCCGTGCACAGTGTGTTACTTGATCGAGAGCGAAATTTGTCAACGGACTTGTCTCCCACACACCGATGGGACTCGGACACTCTCGTGTCGAAATCGAAACTCCGCTCGCGTCGTTTCGCGCGGCGAACGCACTCGGTCGTCCGCCGGGCACGACAACGTGGCATGAGAAGACGTTTTTCGGCAGCACTCGAGTGTGATCGTTATTTATTTACCCGCGAATTACGCGACTTGAGAGACGATGATGAACGTGTTGATGAAACACGTTAAATGTCGCGAAGCTCGCTCGTTTAAGTTTCGGTTTCTTTCGAGGAGGTAACTGCCGGGCCATCGTCGTAGCTCCAAACGTTATTTATGCATCACGCTGCTTGAGTGACCATTAAGTAGTTAATATTATTATGCAATTTGTTTTAATTAATTTAAAAATTATCGCCGCATTCCGTGAAGGATTATAATATCGATTCTTCCTATATTTTAGCGCTTGTAGAATTTAATGTTTTTAGTAGAAGCATTAGAAAGTGCGCGTTTGTTTGTAGCTCTTATCATAGAATACTGCATGGAATGTTTAAACCTGTGAATCGTTTGAGTTCGACAGCTAGTGCATTTCATAACATAAGTTTTTTTAAATTCATCCTCGAATTTAATTAGAAACAAATTAATCGATCGGCTTAACGGCGCAGATAGGTTTTATTTATATCAATTTTAATATTTCCAGTGTATATTTTATAATTAAATGCTCCTTGCTTTCTTTTTCTTGGTTTCTTCCTTTTCTCAAAATTCTGATGTACGAAATGCTAAAGTTTCTATCTGTCTCTCTGTTTTTATTTATTTATTTATTCATTCGGCGAACAGAAATAAAATTTTGATGTATAAAGCGAATTATTGGACGTAGGAAATTGTGCAAAAATAAAAAATCTGAATACGAATACAGGAAGAAAAGTGAGTTAATCAACACTCTATGATAGAACTCTATATAAATTACGTCTAGAGACTCTTGAGGAATTAGAGGAAAAGTCAATGGACTCGGAGAATTTGTTGGCTAATATAAAGATTCCGTTCATGCAGTTGTATCTCCTATATAGTGTCCCATGTTGCTCAATGTGAAATAAATTAAACGGATGAAACACCCCGGGTGGTGAATAAGATCTACAAAGTTCGGATAGTTTAGAGCACACAACGTGACTATACAAAAGTTGAAATAAGAAATAAGAAATTTATTTCGATTAACTTATTGTTGCGTTTCTAAAAGATTATTCAGCGGTCTTGCGGAAATCGATATATACGAGTGTGTATCAAGCCGCGTCATCCGATAAATTATCAACATGAAATTCACACGCATCTCGAGGATCGCGTATGTATTAGTTAATACGGTCGATGATCGCGCGCATTGGCATGCGGTATCGCGAATTCGCAAATATCACCGATCTTTCACCGCGAAATCGGGTGAATAATTTTCAACGATGCCCCGTCGCGACATCGGATTGTGAAAGTTGTCGGCTCTTTCCGCCCGGCGACGTTTTTGCCGCGCGCTCGTTAAACGCATTTTTTTCTTTCTACATCTATTCGTAATTATCGCTCGAGCGCGTCTCGCCGCGGGGAGGTCCGTCGTGAGAATCGAATTTCCCGTCGCGGATGATTTCGCTGTACTGAGGAACTCGTTTAGCCGAATCAACGAAATTCTTGAGTAAAACGGGCGTACAAATGTTTCGGTTCTAAAAGCCGAGGTTTGGTTCTCCGGACCAAAAGTTTCATTCTTTGAAGAGGATCATGATTCAGAGAGCCAGAGAGCTTGGTTCTTATAAGCAAAATAAAATAATTAAATAATTCAAGACGGCTTTGAATAGACAATGCAAAATAAAGTGAGAATTTACACCGGTTAACTGGCGCGGCTCTTTACTGGCCATTTTATTTTATTATTTCACAACCAAAACGTTCGTCCATATCCCAGGAAGAATTTTGTTGATTCAACTGGTGAATGGGTTTCTCTGGGTGGGTAGACTCGTCGTCACCGTTCGGACGCTTCGAATTGTATCTCGGATCACGCACGGAAACGATCGTCGATTTCCCATTACGTTACGGTCGCAAGCCGGGCGGAACTCGCGGGCCCGGCTTTTCCCCGGCGAGGATGCAAAATCGAGCAACTTGACCGGCGAATTTCCGCCGCGCGTCGTCGCGAGATGCCGAAAGTCACTTTCGTCCTCCGTCGTTCGTCTTTTCCCTCGGCTCGCGTGTCCGTTTCGTTCGAGAGAGCGACATTTGCGTCTCTCGTTGTGCATCGGGCGAACAACATCGTCGTGAGATCACGGTTCGCCGGGGAACCGTGAAATGACCGCGTGTTTAGAAAGAACTTCGCGACCGGTGCGGAGGTGGACGTCGCGCGACGGCACATCCGATGAAACGGAACGGGTGATACGCACCGGCGCGAATTGCAATTACGACACGATCGAGATTATGCGAATTAGCTAACCGTGCTCTTTGACACCGGCTGGATCAGCTCAAGGCTCCTTTCGCGACACTTGCTCATGAATATGAAAAGGGAGTATACAATTAACACAGATCCTCACCTCGTTCTTCTTTAACCTCCGATTAAGCAACGATGCGTAAGCAACGTTGGCATGAACGTCGCTTAGTAACGTTGATAATTGAGTTCAATACGATTTTCTCGTATGTAGAGCGTATCTGCGGTATGCTGTAATTCAGGCTTACATGAGTGCGCATAAACAACTCTCCTCAAGGAGAGATCCATTGAGATCAAACGGAAATGATTTCTATGATTATGCGATATCGAGCACATAAGATATGAATCTTGATGTCTTGAGAAATACTTGAGCATCCTGTTATGAGCCACGTCTATCTTACATTTAATCGTTGTCACTTTCAAACGAACAATAAGTACTGTTAAATTAAACGTCACGATTATTATCGTGCATTACTTTGAGGGGATGCCATACTTGAAAACTTTATCGGCAGATCATTGATTTTTCCGCAAAGTTTCTTATTTAATGTCTCAATTGCGCATTAATTATAAGTGCTTTTTTACACAGTGAAGGCACGACCTAAAATGAGATGAAACATTGTTCGATATGTGACGAAAACGATAAAAAATTTCAAAATTGACGTCTCCAGTTGCCAATTAATGTAAATATTTTTTTTGACACAAAAATCCTGCAGTTTGTTTGTACATATGTATGAGAAACATAAAAAGAATAGCGCTATCATATCAGTGTTTGCGTAACATAACACTTTAAGGATCACCTTTATATTGAAAAATATATAAATTCATTGTCGATTTTAATATCGCCTTAATTGCAAATAATTGCGAGAATAGTTTTGTGTACGGTATTTCCTATTTTTACCGACTATCAAGATTCGCCTCGGTTTACCTAACAATGCGTAATTAATCGGTTTCTAACAACGCGTGCGTTTTTCTGACGTCAATCGCCTAACGGAGGTAATTATTGTCCCTATAGATCGCGCTATTCTGTGTGCTGATCGTTCTCGGCTTATGTCGCTGTGATGAACTCCCGTCGAGACACGAGGTCGAGAGTTCGATCAATCGGACGGTCGACGAGGTCGAAAGGTTGATTCAACAGGACCCGAGTCTGCCTCGCCTCAGCAGGCATGAGATCGTCGATATTCTCTTCAACATCACGTCTAAAGATGTCGAGGCGTACAAGAATAAGGAGTCGGTCGAGCAGGCGAGGAGGATCTATCAGAAGGCGTTGATGGTCGTGTTGCCTTACAACGCGCAAGACGCGAAGGAGAACATCAAGGAATTGTACACGAGGCCGCCGATAGTGAAGCTAATCGCGGATCCTTCCTTCAGTCCGCAGGACCTCGAGAAATGGAGAAACGAGATGCTACTGCAGCCGTCGCCGTCGACGAGCACGTCCACGTCGACGTCCACGAGCCCTTCGACGTCCACGTCGACGAGCACGCAGGGGACGCCGCGCGACAAGCAGCCTCTCGAGAATCTCGTGGTGACGCACGCGGTGGAGAAGACTCCGCCGAAGGAGAGCCCGCACACGAAAACGCGATACAAAAACCACAAGGACACGTACTCGGAGGTGCAGACGAAGGTGTCGCTGAAGGAGACCCTCAAGTACGACTCGGCGCCGATCAAGTTCAGCTTCAATCTGGAGAACCTGCAGAAGCAGTCGACGGCCACGGAGAAACCGGCTTCGAAGGGACCGGTGTATCAAACGTCCTCCTCGGGCAAGGACGAGAACGTTTACATCGTGTACAGCACGAGCGCGGCGACCGAGCAGACGAACTACCGGGGTGTCTCGCAGGGATTCGATCCACGTACGACGTCCCGTCCCCCCAGTCATCAGCTGAACATCCTGTCTTCCGATCAATGGCGTTACAACGCACCGCCGAGCACCACTCAGAGGATCACGACGACGTCGAGAGTGGCGTCTTTCGAGAGGATCCGAGAGAAACCGTCGTTCCTCCCGACCGTCAAGATATCACCGGAAGACGCTGTGATGACAACGACGACGACGACGACGAGCAAAGCCGAAGACCTCTCGAAGCTGTCGCAAATGGCGGGCACCGAACGACCGACGACTTCCATCTACGTGACACCAGTGTCCTCCTCTACTCCTTCCTCATACCCCACGTCTTCCACCTCGGTAAAGTCCAAGTACAATTCCACGTACAATCTGAACTCCGGAGGATTCCGCAGGATCACTACGACGCCTATGACGATGCGTCCGGAGGTGATGGACCTGCTCGCCTCGATCGGACTTCGGCCGGAGAACACCACGAACGTGGAGGAGGTGTTCGTGAAGAATCAGGAAAACCTGGAGGCCAAGTCCCGGATTCCCGGCACTAGCGGCTTCTTACATTCGACCGCTACCGGCCTGACGGCGGTGGTGCCCGACTCGCCGTCGATAGTCGGGCAAAACACCTTCGAGAACCCGGTCTCGGAGATCAGGCTGGGCATGAACAACCTGACGCCCGACGTACAGTTGCTGTTCCAACGATTCGGCCTGCACACGTCCAACCCGGCGACGACGACCACGACGACCACGCTGAAACCGATCGTGAACACCAACTCCTACACTAACTTCAAACCCTTGCCAACGTCCAGGATCAAAGACGAGGAAATGAAAGAGTTCTTGGCGAGGTTCGGACTTGGCGACAACCGGCAGCGGAAAGCCATGCCGGTGTCGACGGAACGGCCATCGGTGATCGAGGTTGTGCCGAGCCACATGAGACAGATCTTGGAGAACATCGGCCTGATTTCACGCAGGACGCCGAAAACCACGACGCCCAAGATGGAGGAATTAAAGCCGCCGAGGACGACTCCGAACCACGTGTTCAAGCCGCACGAGGTGCGGCTGAAGGACGAGGGGCAGAAGATGAAGATCAACGAGCTGCTGGACACGGTCAGACTGGTCCAAGAGGGGAAAGCGAGTGCGAAGGATGTGCGAAAGGTAGCCAACGACCTGATAGCGACCACGAAGAGCCTGAAGGACGGCCCGGATCCGCTGAGTCTCGAGGAGCTCGTCAAGATTTACAACGAAGACGTGAAGAAGAACGAGGTGAAGAGGCAACAGAGCGCGGACGGGCCCGACGGCAGGGATCGAGGCCGTGAGAACACCTCGACGACGACCTGGACGACTGCCGGTATAAAGAGATTTATGATTTCCGTTTTGGGCACTTCGGAAACCTGGGTTGGCAGGATCATGTGGGGTCTGGAGAAGATCAAGAGCATGTTAACTTTCGTGGGGAATAGGATCAGATGATCACCGGATTAAATGGACTTGTCCGGGACGCCCTCGTTCTGCTAAATACCTTCTCTGTCGCAGCTCTCTCTTTCTACCTCCTCTTCTATTTATCTTTCACTCTCTCCCTCTTAGCATGATTTCCGGCTGCGTCCCTCTTCGCTTTTACTTCGATATTCGCTTGGTGTTCGACTGTCGTCCAGCGTTTGACTCGTAGACCAAACGCGTGTACAAATCTAGACTACGACAGAAGGAGCCCGCACGAACGATCGACGGAATAAAAAAAATCTGCGAATACCGGAGTAACAGAGGTGCGGACGAATATCAACCGAGCATTTTAACAAATCGCTGATTAGTCAGTAGTAGCTTCCTCTCGTAGACCGATTAGTAATTTCATTTAGTCGAAGTCAGCCAACTGTCCAAATTCGATCGAACCGACCGTTCATCTCGGAGGTGAAACTTGAAACGGCCTGTACTCGTAACATCACAATATGATGCAACGCTCACACCAGATCGCATAATTTCAGGAGGAAACTTAACCATGACATTACATAAAGCTTTAAAAGCCCGCTTACGAGTAGTGTTGCCACTTTCTTCAGAGATTACCGGGGATTGCGCAACTAATCGAAATCGCGTTGCGAAATCCGAAATCCCAAGCGCTTCAGGTAAACCCGAACAGAGGCACACATGAGCGCGACACGACGCGACGGATCCGCGCGTTACGCTTCGCCACGCGATTTATCCAGGCGACGATCCTCCAGGCGGCTTTTTGCACGCACTTGTTTTTCCTCCCGGCCGCACACGTTAGTGTCAGCTAAGTGTACAACTTTCGTCCCGCGTTCCTTGCCCCCTTGAACGCGAACTGCGCGCCATAAATATTGCATGTGAACGCATGCGGTTGTTGCACGCAAACCGGTTCGCACGACGGGACGATCTCATAGCCGTCCGTGGCTATGTCGCAGCGAGAGAGATAAGTAGACAATATTTACGATATCTGCTTTACTTCATTGCGAAGGACGGTTTCTTCGCCCGCGGTGGGATCGTCATGACGGAAGCTGCGATAACTCTCGACATCTGTCAGCCCCGGGGCGATGACAGAACGTCCCGTTTTCGGCGATCTCTCGTTATCCGGCGATTCTCAGTCGCGACGTTCGCAAAAATTCACTTCAGACTTTCCCCTTAAGAGCAACTGTGCTTTCCGATTAGACATATCGATATCGCGCGAAAATACCGAATATGTGAATATATGAATATATTTGTCATATTTCAAATTATTCATATCGAATATGAATGGATGCTGTACATATCGAATAAAATATCGAATATTTCTAATACAAAGTAGAAAAAATCACAATATACCGATCTTGTGTAAAAACTTTGCGTAAAATATCATGAATGAGAATAATTAGGAGATTGAATATATGCTTTATTACTGTATGTAAGATATTTTAATGCAATAAATATTATTTGTATATGTTTTCTTGCAGAATAGCTAAGAAAAACAACTTCATTAATATTTGACTTATTAGTCTGCTTCTTTTATCTGTCGTAATATTATTTATAGTTGAAACTATTCTCTCTGAAGCCACGGAAGACTCTATCATAATACAATATTTAAACATAATTTTGATTAGTGTAGGAGATAATGTTTGATAGTCCTTTCAATATCTCACAGGATCTTTTAGCAAAGTATAAACGATCCGGAATTTAAAAAAATTTTTATTCGTTTAAATTTATTTTTAAGTATTCCGTATGTTTATACATTAAATAAAATTGTAAATCCTTTTGGTGGACACGAACTATCTTCTATTATTCAAGAAAAGTCTTGTTGTTTTGCTATTTTTCGGATCTCCTAATAGAACTGTATCAATAGCTTCTTCCTGATGAAGAAGAGAACATTTATACGCTTTCTTAAATCTGGGTTCGATCAATAATACAATGATAAGATATTTAAGTGCCTGGAGAAAATATTAAGGGCTCTACAACTGCTCTATTCGACAACTAATCGACACATCTGACAATACTATTTGTAGGACACATGAAATAGCAGCCTTAGCGTGCAAAATGTTCGTGAACATATGAATAACTTAAGAAATATTCGATATTTTTTTATTCACAATATTTCATCCAATATTTTGATACTGAATACAGAAAGATATGGAGTATTTGATAATATCGAATAACGATAACGATCTCTACTTCCAACGTATTCTACGATTGCGATACGATAACAGTCTTTCGCTCTCGCAATCGCCGGTTTTCAATTTCCGTTGGAAATTTTAATGCCGGTTCTATTTCTCTGTCCGACTCTCACGCAGCCCCGGATTTAATTGCGCCGTCGCGAGAATCGCCAAATGGTTTTCCCGCTTCGTCGCTACGAAGCGTGACGAATTCGCTCGCTCGCGAGATAATGACGCGGCATGCGAAACGAAATCGAGAAGGAACTCACAGTGCATCTTGTCGGCAGAATCGATAGACGTTTCCTCGACGACTACCCCGACGACGACGACAACTACCTCGACAACGATCACGACGGTAACCCCGAGCACCACAGATTCCGCAAAGGATGCCTCGGACTCGATGGACGCGGTCACGCCGTCCCCGGAATCGACGTCGGCACGTACAAATCTCGCGGTACTGGAGGAATCTTTCGGCGGTACCACACGCGCGCCCGATCCCGTTTTACCGACCAGGCCGAGAAGCGGCTTGTACTTCCTGGTGGATTGGAACACCTTTCTCGAGGTCGGCGAGGACGACAAGGACAAGGTGAACCTAAGGTTCGAACCGAAAGTCGGCGACAGGTCGAGGTTCTTGCCGGTCACCATACCGTAATTTCGCGGGAAACTACCGATCCTAACGTCTTTTTCTCCCCCTCTGTCTCTCTTACGCTGTTTCTTACAATTGTTAATTTGTAATGCATGGGTAAAGATGTTGCGATACTACCGATATAATATTGATATAGAAATTTTTCTTTCAATAATTTATTTTTGTATCGATATTTTCTTTCGATATTTGTATCCATATCCAGTACTCCTTTGTTTCGATATCTTTTTTTTTTTATTTTTTGCTCAGCCGATCTTCAGGATATCGATATTCTCGATTAGACACCCGTTTCAATATTAGTATCGATACTTTCATAGCATCACAATATCCCTATACACGGGCACTATCGCCGATATTCGTAACGATACGAGCTATGGACGCCCCACGGAATACTTAAAACGTGTTTATTTGCTTTCTCATATTATATAATTGAATATTTAATGTAATTTGACGATATTGCGATATTTCACGTTTCAAATTATTAAAAGAGAGGGGAGGAGTAAGTGATGAAATCCGATAATCAAACCTGTTTCCGTATAAATATGCGAGCAAATTTTCGCTTTTACTTAAATTATTTTAGTTTAAAGATGCGATTACACGTTTATAAACGCTAATAATCTGGTCTCCGATTAAGTTCCCGCGATTAATGAAAATGAATTAGCGGCGCCAGGGGAATGCGCATTGTGCCGCAATTATTAGAAAGTATGGTCATTTGCGATACGTAGTATATAACCGTGTCGTTTGAAATCTTTATTTATACAATATGCATGAGGAGGTTTCCCTGCAGAGAAAATAATAAGCCATAACTTAATCATAAACTGTATCAAGGTTATACACATTAGTAGCTTTTTAGCCGAAGATATAACGAATAAAAGGAAACATAGTAGGAGCAACATGCGAGGCGAATAAAGGCGAGCTTGTGAAGGAAAATACAATTATAATTAATTATAACATCAACAGGTGTTATAATTAATTACTTATGTGGGAAATGAGACTTCACTATTCAAATATACGAGAGGTCTCGGAGTGCGATGAATCAAAGTAACAGATCAATGATAAATCATAGTCCGGCGAATATTATCGATATTCTGGCTGAGTCCTGAATCGAGAAGAGATCCGTCGGATAAACACAACATCAGAATTGGCCTGACGAAAATCATAATATTGTGAGTCGTGGCATAAAGTATTTACGAGATCGCGAGAATCTCACGGCTTAGGTCTCAGTTCACGTCCGCGATGTTACCGAATAAGGGTCTCGTCGTGTGTCTCCTTCTTCCGCTAATTCTCGCGAGCGACACGGAAGATCAGGATATCGAAAACATATCCGTGACATTGGATAAATTGTTCGACAGTGTCCGATCGTCTCGATGGCCGCGAAATGGCGAGCACACCGATTTGTCGTTAATTTGGCAGAAGTATGAATTCGGCAGCGGAGCCGGAAATCGAGAAGGTGATTAGCGCGCTAAGTACTTCTCATTAACCTGACATTAATAACCATAAGTGAAATCCGTTGGGTAAAATCTGATTTTTGAACGGAACAGCGTGTTCGTTCGAGTATAATATATCAGGCAACGATCGCGGTCGATGTGCAGGGTGTTCTAGAATCAATGAGTGTTCCTTCCGCCGCATTTTTTTATGAGACGATGTTTCCTCAATAATTTCCTTCACCTTCCTTAATTTTATTGTATACCTTCGTGACTAAGCTTCAAATTAAAGTTGCCCGCTCTCCGCCGTTACATCTCTCCTGAAACGAAGGTTTTCTCTCAGTTCGCGAAGGAACAGACGCATTTCCCTCTCACTTTTAATCTATACCGGACGTGAAATCAATTCCGAATTAACCGAAGGCTTACGACGATGGAAAGAACATCGGTGGTTTTGGAACACGTTACCTGAAAAGTATGTCGACCGTTTTACTCTTGCGATTCTTTTTTCCGTCCGCTACGCGGCTGACAAGTTGTAAAACTGGTAACCGACTTCACGTCTTTTGTATATATACGTACATCTAATCGTAGTTTATAAGTGTATCACTTTTGTACAGAGAATGTAGAGTACACATGTTTATCTCCCCCCCCCCCCCNTTTTTCCCCCCCCCCCCCCCCATTATGCAAATAAATCTTTAATCGATCCAATCTCTGAAAGAGTGTTTCCGTTTTTGCAGAGGTGGTGGTAGCGAACATTTCGTCGCACCGATACGCCGATATCCCTGAGAAGTACGATTGGCAATTCTTGCGATCGAAAAACGCTTATTTTATTCGTGCCGAGGGCCCGACGTTGATTATCTACGAAATCAATTTGGACGATTCGCCCGACGTCGAACGTAGCGCAAACGTGACGACGGAGGGACGCATATTGCTGTTCAAAGTTTTCGATTTGAACGCCGAGGAGACGGAACGTGAGGATCGGGCGGACGATTTGATGGCGGTGTTATTCGTCGAGTCCGAGCACGGCTACTTCCTGCACTGGTATCGAATCTCTGAGAACACGACTCGGTTTTATTCGAGACTAGCCGTGCAGTGCGAATTCCAAGATATGGAAATCGTGCGGGGGGCAAATCAGAACGAATTACTGTTGCTCAAGAATAACGTCACGTGTCCCGAACAGTCGTTGATCGATGTTTATGGCTTCAACTGTGATCACAGCAATCACCGCATCGATATATGGTAATTACGTTCGCATGTGCGCCGCTCGATTTCGCTCGTTGTCGCAACGACGTCTGGCGCACAGCTATAATCCGCGAGAAGGAAAAGTTTTTTTTTTTTTCAATCGAACGATAATTAAACGCGAAACCTCGTAGTACGTTAGACGCTTCGGTGGAGGGACTTCGGACTGAGGGAGATTCGAAGCTATTTCTTCAGTCGCAATTCCACGTACGGATATTTGACGCGTATCGGCGTGAGCTTACGCGGAGAAAAAAGGAATTGGCCGTCCCGATAATACAATAATAATACAACTGAAACTTAATTACCAGACCTAGCTTTCAGCTGTGAGAGCTAAAAATTAGACAACGGGGACGAAAAAATTAACTAAATTAACTAAGTTTCAATTGAATGATATGGACCGTTAATTCTTACCTGTGAGAGCTAATTCTTTTTTTCCGTGAGGTAATATCGCGCAAATGCATACCGTTTCCGGTATATTATGTCGCGCAGGTTTTGCCGGCGGTTATTCGTTTCCAAGACGTCCGACATCGAAGTCTGTTCGATTTACGGCAGCACTGTGTTGGCCTTTCAAGCGAACGCCAGTGTTGTCTTGTACGCATCGCGAAACGAAGATACACACTGCAAATACGAGGAGTCCGCAGTCCTCGATTCGCACGAGCTCGCGAATTTCGTGTGCTTCGAGAGCGGTTACATCGAGTACTTGGCTACCGCCGGGAGGGAAGTGCATCTGTTCCGCTTCTTCGAGAATGATTTTCAAGACAACGCCGAGACGGATCAGTTCTACAACGGTAAGATAACGAAAACGAGAATCGTGGAGAGGAAAGAGTCGGAAGAGTGTTCGTAAACTTTTCGTTTCGCAGAGACCACCAGAGTTTCATGGGTCACGGCAGTGCCGTTGAACACGTATCGCGACGAGTCACTGTTGCTGGTGCAATTTGAAAATTCGACGGTGATCGCGCTGGCCTGGCAGGGATCGAATTTCAAGGAAGTGCCGTTGCCGAACAGACTCATGAATGGCTTCGATCTGTCGAAAGCCGTCGTCGTCCCGGAAGTCGGATTCATGCATGGAAACACGCTCGTACGACTGGACGTGATCCTGACGGAATTGGCGTATCCCATGCACATCGAGACGGAGAGCATGCTGAAGATGCGAGTCTTGTTGGAGGTGCGTTCATGTCATTCGTTTATTGATTTATTTAGTTACTTATTTATTCACTCAACGGAAACGGAGTCTCTTCGGTGTACGAATTTAAAGACGGTGGGAATTATGCAGATTTAGTTCCGACAAATAGATCGAATTGCGTATAAAAGAAAGAAAACAAAAATTGTTCCACCGTGAATAATACATATTAAACGCGACAATTGATAAGATATTATTTTACACTTTTATAAATCACTGTATTACATATATAAATAATTTTGCCACACAATTTATTTATAATTTGCGCATTTAATACATCGCATCAGAATAAATTTATTTTCACGATTTTTCCCGACAAATTTCGTATGACGTGCTTTGTTTTAAGACACACGGGATGTTTTCAGGAAGTGTTTCGCAAGCAGGAAGTTGACTTCAACGAGACCGAGACACGAGTGAATCAAAGTTACCTCAAGAATCCCGTGACAGGATTTTGGAACCTTTCGAGAGCGGACATCACGAACGTTACGATCGGGAAAGACGTGAATTACGGCGCGATCAAAGTCGGCGTGATGGATTTACAAATAGAAGATATATCGACGAACGTGACAGCGAGTCTGAAGAAACTCGAGGAACTTGAAGCGAGGCTTGCTCGAGTCTTGCCGAATTTGGAAGAAATGGCTGACGTCTTTACGATGAAGATCGAGTTACCGTCAGATGTTGAAATAGACGGGGATTTTCTAGTGAACGGCACTTTGAACGCGACAAATGTGAACGCCGTTTTTGTGAATAACGCGTTCACCTCCGCGGCCGCGGCAAATCGCTTTGTCAATTTCATCCATGGCCGAAAGTCTTTTCCTTCTATTGACACCGACAACTTGACGGTCGTCACGTTGAACGGCATTCCGCTGGAAGAATACGTTTTCGACACTTCGATCGAAAGTTACGACCATGTGGATTTTTCCAGGTCAAAGCGGTTAGAGATTAATGGACACTTGAACTTTTCCAAGATAAACGACATCGATTGGGAGATACTGATGCAGAATGTAATATGGAAGGACAAGACGAGCAACATCCCCGGAGACACGATCATGAAAGGAGTAAGACGACGTGATTATCCCCTTGTAGAAAGTGTTGAACAAGTCGCGGTATATCCCTCTGAGAATAATTTCTCGCATGAGAGCTAGTAGAAAATACAAAATAATGATCCCCTTGTGTGATTTTTCTGGATAAAACGACTCTTCGTATAAACGCTTCGTATAAACGATTCCTCGTACAAACGCTACACGTACTTGTATTCAGACGCGATCGGTTAAAGAAAATTTACTCCTCGTTAAAGAAAATACACTCATCGTTTATTTTCTTGCGAGAGACCATTCGTTACTTTGTGCCGCAATTGATCAAACATTCCCCGGGTGGAAATTTAAAACAGGGACTGGAAAGACTCTATATAATTTTTCCTCACTTGAATTTAGGCTTTGTAAAGACAAGCCTACTTGGGCCCTATACAGAAATGTAACGTTCCTACAAATTAGGGCCAGGTTTGTAAATTTAATCAGACCTTATTTTGATACGTCTAACTAGACCATATCTAGACCCAACGGAAACAGGTATATTTTTGGGTATAGGGATTTAGGGCCACTACAAAATTGGGACTTGCCCCGATTCATTTCTATCCTGACCTGCGTACCAGTATCGCGTTCTTGTAATTTCCCTGTGTAGCAAGATACGATTTCTTTTTCAGACGATTATTGTCGATGTTGGTGCTGTCAAGTACCTGAATGATCTGCGCTACCCACAGGATTACGTTCTAACTAGAGGCAAGTACTTGCCAACAGTCAACGTTACGGGTGAAAAATATTTTTCTAATCTATCCGTGCAACATTTCGTAAATGTCAGCACGATAAATGAAATAGACATCGACGACTTCATCATTCTCAGCAGACACGAGGTTCTCGATCGAGAAATTACCTTCGAGAATCTGCAGATCGATGGAGTTCTTCAGGTACGATTTCGACACTTCGCACTTCGCGATCGAGATAAACGTTACATCGTGATTTCAGATCGATGGAAACCTAACGGGTATTAATGTGACCAAACTCGAGGATTCGCTCAACGAGACCAACACACTCAACACACACGTCATTTTCGAGGACCTGACCGTCGTGGGAGACATCGTGCTTGAAGGTTCGATCGACGCTAAAAGGTGGCGGGACTTTAACGATCTTTTGCTGGCGACTCAGAATAACACGATGATTACGGGACATAAGAAATATTTGAATGGCGTCACTATAAAGTCCACGATCTCAGTCGAAAGAATCAACGGTCGATCGACTGCCGAAATCGTGAATCTCGACACTGTTCAACATTTCCCCTGTGAGTAGTCAAATAACAAATTATTCAATTGCGAATCACCAGATCGAGAGAATATCCTCCCTCTCCCTCCGGCCTACAATGAATCGCGTTATATTTTGCTGGAAAATTTGATTTTAAGAAAATTGCACTCTTTGTCCGTTTCAGATTTGAAGAGGATATCGGCGAATGTCACGTTCGGCAATGTGAAACTCGACGTCGTGAACAAGTTGGAAAAATACATAATGAGCGAGCAAAATAAATATTCGGGCTGCATGAAGAAGATAATCTTTTTCAAGAAAACGCCTGTCATCGACGAGATCTCCTTCGAGACCATAGGGCACAATATCACGAAAGAGGCTTTCCTCGCTCATTTGAACGAAACCTTCCGGAAGGTGTACTTCGAGAATTTGACACTCTCGACGTTAAATGCCGACGAAATCACGCCGAGCACCATCAATGGGATTTGGAATTACACCGATTTATTGAAGCATATGTTAACAACTTCCACGCGACAGAATCTGACGGGCTCTTTGACGGTCGAGAACCTGGAAATCGGTGTATTGGACGCGGAGCTCGTCAACGGCATGCCGATGAGCGACTTGAATCGATCGCTGACGCGCGCAGAATCCCTTTACGACGACGTCTTCGACGGAGATGCGATGTTACAGTTCCTGCAAGTGACAGGAATATTAACGGCGTCTTCGATCAACAAGCGTGAACCTTCCGATATTTACAACGAACACAACATGAAATCCGTAATTTTCCAGAAAGACGTAACGATCGAGAATTTGAAGGTGTCGGACTTCGTGAACGGTCGAAATTTGTCCGAATTCGTCGACGATGTTGTATGGAAAACCGACAGGGATGTCTTGTTCACCGGCAAGAAAACGTTTGGGAACGTCACGAGCGAATATTTGCACGCACGATTCATAAACGGGCATTTCGGGGGCGACATCTTGGATCCCGACAGAGAGCAAGTGCTGAGGGGACCGGTTGTTGTAAACGGTAGCGTATGCAAAAATCTTTCAAGAGTGTTACGTTTTAAATGTTATTATTTTAAATGTTATATTCAGTAATATATATCAAACTCAAACAACTAAATCTTGGTTCTTAGAAATATATACTTGCTTTATCTAATTATTTCGTAAGCTTTATCAAATTATTTCGTAAGCACCAGACGTTTGGCACGCATTATTTAACCCATATATTTAATAGCAGTTACCAAATCCTTCTTTTAATGTATATTTAATTAAAACATTATTTTAACAATTATTACTATAATTAAAATCTTATGTCTTGATATAATGAGAATGTTTAATTTAATTTCTTGACCTCCCCTTTTGCCTTTAATTTTACACGATTCCTGATAGTATATTAATAAAAATTGATCTTCTTAGGTTCGATCACCGTCCTGAAAAATTTCAACATTACCGGCAAGATCGGAAGCGAGATGTATCTATACAATTTTACAGACAGATTTAAACCACTCGGCAATAACTCTTACGCTCTTCGTGGTAACTTCCGATTCACCGAGAACGTCTCCATCGCGAGACTGGACGTGAGTGGACCGATTCAAGGATCGATGTTCGATAATTTCCTGCAAAAGACAGTTGCTAAAAACGAATCGAACATTACAATATTTGGAAATAAATTATTCAGAAACAAGGTCATATTCGATGACAAATTTATCATTGTCGACAAATTGGACAACATAGAATTGCGTAACTTTCACGAGAAAGCTGTTTACATCGATAAACCCTTCTCTATCAGCTCCAAAATCGTGTTCAAAGAAGACATTCACGTACAGAAAAACCTTTTAGTAAAAGAGAGATTACAAACAAGTACCATCATGGGAGTCGATATGAAGGATCTATGGGAGAACGCTATCCTTCTTGATTCATCCACATATTTTGGAGGTAATTACTTTTATATAGGTTAGGCAATAACTTACCACCTTGATTATCTTCGAAGAATATAAAGGTAGGAGACAAATTTATTTTTCCATTTAACAGGAATTGTGCATTGATGTCACTGTTCCATCGCATCAAACACCTTGCGTAAATGTAAACTTTTTTCATCTTCATCTGGTTGTTAACCGAATCTTTTTATTTTTCGAAGATAATCGAGATGGTAATATTTATTACCTTACTTTGTACATTGAGGAAAATGTAATTGCACTAAAGAAGCGCACATTTATATTCACTGTATTTTCGTCGAACCGAATTATTTCTATGCTTTCTTAAAAGATCGCAACGAGTATTTACGTTCGCCTGAATAGTTAAATATGATCGCACAATTGCGGATCATGATCAATCGTTCGCATGTTTCGCATAGCTGATTTGCAAAATCTCGCTTGAACATCCGATTTTACGACTACCGACTGCTCCGCGATATAACTATCGGTTGTAAACGACGTGTCGCAATTATAATGGTACGTCGTTTGTGACCGATAATCATATGCCACTCGAGGAACATGTTTCATTGCGGTTAGTAAACCGGGCATCCACGTAACGTTAGCGTTCGCGTGATAGCGCACAGGACGTCAACTATTACACCGTACGATTTCGCCGCTTAATGGAGGACATGTATTTTTTTGTATTTCAGAGCGGATGACACTCGACAATGTGACTTTCCAAGCGAGCGTAAAAGTCGTACAGGTCAATGACTTGAAAATGGACGAGGTGATTCCGTTGCATACGGACCAGATCATCGTAGATGAAATCCTTCGGGGTACCAATGTCACTTATAAAAACATCGAATTGCACAAACAAGTGAACTACCACACTCTGGCTAAGATCTACGCGGATACTTTCACGGTGCGATAAATGTCGACCTATATATAATATGGAATAATGTCGTTTTTTATCATGAGATACACTTAACTTACACTTAACTTAAATATCGAAAGTATGAAACTTTGAAAATGTTTGAATAAACTAACGTAGACGTATGTGTCCAGACTTAGATTAGAATTTTTTTTTATGAATATTCTATTCTTTATTTTATAAAATTTATATTGTGTTAGGCATTATGAGAAAAAATGATAGAAAGAGAGAGAGAGAGAGAGCTTATTTTTTTAATGTTTCATAATTTGTATTAATTATTATTATGCAAAAAATTTTTTTTTATTATTGATGGTTAATTTTATTTGTAGATACGCGACGAGCAGAATGTTATGGGAACAATCACAATTGAAGGAAACGTTTATGCATATAGTGACTTCAACGCTCATTTAATAAACGGTTTTTATACCAAGCAAATCATTTCTACAAACACCAACGAGACTATAGTGGGTAAGGAGCTGAAACAAATTATACAGAATAAGTCGCGAGCGATGTTAAAAAATGTACCGGTGCGTCAAATTAAGAAAAAAATCTTACTAAGCACGGCATTATAATTTGTATTTCTCTAACGTTTCAGAAATTTAGAGTTGACATTTTTAACAACGACGATACGAATATAATTAACGCGATTTTTTATTTCTGATACTTTTTTAGGAAATTTTAAGTTCGAAGATCCGGTGATCCTCAGTAAGAATCTAACGATTTTGGGTCTTCTAAACGGGATAGACCCAATTAACTGGCAAAAAACAGCAGTAATGAAAACAGGCGAGGCGAAACAGACTATATTCGCGAAGTGGAGGGTTCACGGAAACGTGACCTTCGAGGAGAATGTTAACGGAAATGATCTTTTGAATGGAGTTAATATCACGGAAGTGTCAGTGATCTCGGCGAAAGAGCACGTCGAATTAGATCCCATTGTCCAGAAAACAAACGTAAGGAAAAACTATTCTCCGAAAACATATCATGGAAATTCATGTTCCACGAAATTCCAGTTTCGTGTTTTCACGAAAGTGATTAACACGACGAGGAAATATATTATTCATTTCTCTTAATCAGTAATATTCCCTTTGACAAAACTGTCTCATATTTTTGAAAAGAAATGCCTACTAAGACATAATTCTATCTTTCGCAGGAGACGTTTCTAAATAAAATGTGTGAGAATTTAAATACGCTCAAATGTGCTTCCGCAAATCAGATATATAAATTCGATACGTTCGATTATGTGAAAATACGGGAGTTCGAGGGGGACGTTCACGATATTCACCATATCGATTTGGATAATTTGGCATATTTGTTGGTAAATCACGGCGATTGCAGTGTGACGCTTCTACAATATATGTCCACCGATTTCGTAGAGGTCGACAAAATGTCTGATGTCGGATTGATCGATCGATTGACCTTTTATCAATTGAATCGCACAATATACATACTCACCATCGCGAAACGTTCCTGTGGTGGAAGCCTTAACAACATATGGAAATTAGAAGACAACAGGCTGACGGTTAGTTTATTGCGGTATTTCAAAATTACAAGCGTGACGTACGCTTAATTTTTTTAAGCGATTTAATCTATCTTTCCAAGTACGAGCATAAAAGAGCTCTTTAGCCTTTTTTCAATCATATTCGAAGATCTTAATGTTTTTTTTTGCCGTTCTTTCTTTCGCAGAACGTGTTGGAACTCGGTAACGCCACCAATTTGATGAGGGCACACCAAGATATGTTTGTAGCGATGATTCATGATGATGACCCAGCAACAATGATGGAATCGAACCTGCAGTCGAGAATATTAAAAGCTCTAACTTCTTACGAGGAGGAGAGATTAAGCTCGACTTTACATAATGATTCGATTACGCTGGTCAATCAGACTTTCATCCACGAACTGCACAGTAGATCTACGACCGGTATGCCTCTGAGCGACTGTCTCAATTGTAGCACTCTATTGAGCTTCAGAGTTGGTATTTACAAACAAGAAGAATACATTTACTACAATGAGGAAATGAGTCAGAATCATATTTCCGTAAGTTAAGAGCGTTTGTTTGTACGCGTTATATTATGTACTTCATTTTACGACACTTATCGTTTATCACGCGAAAATAACATGGCGAGGAAAAGTTTTATTTTCGCACACGTGCGATGCTTATATCATTCCGTCAGGATTTGATATGTCAATTCAATCGATTGTTTCATCAAGTTTTGGAGGAATGACGCATCGCAAACGAGGATCTTGCAGATTATAAAGGCGCATCGGCCGAAATCCTTTTTGATTCTGAATTTCGACGGGTTCGTTGAGACGCTGCTGATTTTCATCGAGAATAATGAGGCTATCCAGATCTACGAATATCGAGGTAAAAATTTGCATGTCGATGTAAAAAAAAAAAAAAAAAAAGAAGAATAAAATGGTCAATATTTTGTATAAATAATAATTTTTGTATAATATCTCTATATTAATTTTTGATATCACAGTGGTTTTTCATTAAAATCTTATATATATTTTAGAAGAAATGAAAAGTAGAAGTTAAAAATAAGAAGAATAATAACTAAAAGTAGAAGTTAAAAATTAACCTCAAGTAATACATATAAAAAGTGTCATCTTTAGTTGCGAACCTTTCAACTCCCGAACGGTTCATCGTTTTCTAATTGCGCTAATAATTAAGTCATGTTAAGTCTATATATAGTGCAAGTTTTAATAAATTCTTGAAAAATTCAGTTTATGTTACAACTACCTTAAAGAGAAAATTGATATATACTATAATTCGTATGATTGAATTATATTTCACGAAATCTGTTGCAAGGTATCGAAGGCTTCGTGTATAGGAATTCGATCAAAATGAAGGTCAATCGACTGTATACGTTTAAAATGAGGAAATACACGCATATGGAGAAAAGACACTACCTGGCTGCGGTAAACGGGAATCGATTAACGATCTTGGAAGCGAAGATGCACGGCGAGAAATTGGATTTGACAACTATAACTTCCGCGGACTCCTGTTTGATGGACGCGTGTCCGATACGTTAAAAGGTGCGAGTGAGTGGGTACATAATGTGCGCGCTACTTTCGATATTAATTAGTGCCGTGAAAAAACGGTATTCAATGTAATAGCGTATTTGACGCATTACGTTGGAGATCAAACCGCTGTGATAAATCGCAAATAATTTTAATATGTTCGATTGCACGTAACTACATCGAAATATTCTGTAATTATTGTAAATTAAGAATCACGCTAACTTCGTGTAATATACGATGTTGCGAACAATCTGTTAAAAAATAATAAAACCAATTCACACACTCTCTATAAGGTAGTTGGGCCGTAGAGTATCGGATTTTCAGTGGCGATATTAAAGGCCCCCTACACAGGTTTATTATTTACTGAAAAAATTACTGAGAAAAAATACTTTTATAAAAGGTGTCAATTTTAGTCCCAAATATCTCAGATTCCTAATGGTCAATCGTTTTCTAACTTTACAGCGACGTGTAGATAATATTTCCATCAATATGCAACTAAAACTTAAAAGGATTCCTAGAGAAACGGTTTGACGGACCAACCACCTCATAATCGTAATTACAAGTTATCACTTTCATCGCTACCTACTAATCAACTTGAATTAACATTCCGTCGCTTCACGAAAAGCGGCGGTCGCGCCCGTCCATTCATTCTCCGCGTCAAGAAGAAGCGAGAGCCGCTCCGACGCCGCTTCGTTGCCCCCGAGATTGCACCAACTCTTGCATTTCTGTTTGCATTTTCGTGGTCACGCGGTCGGCGTCTCAAGCCTTTTTCCACTTCGTCGTGAATGACGCGGAACATTTTTTTTCGGTGCCCGGCGGTAATCTACGTGCGCACTCGCGGAAGCGACAGCAGCTTACTCACGCGCCGGAACGCGCGCTACAGCGGCATGTCATTGTCATTACCGCGTTCCTTTTTCCACGTGTGATCGATCTTTCAGCGTATACGGATAATTCGCTATATCCCCTCCCTCCCATCCCGCCTCTCCCGGCTCCTTGCCCGTTCCCCGCGTGGATACTTTATGAAATATTGCATCTGGCCGAGAGTTGCCTGAGCGCAAATTGAATAGAAAACGCGAGGCAAGAACTGCAATAACCATTTGCGATTTCTCAACGGTAATCTCCACGGTGTGAAGTAAGCCGGCGCTCCGATAAAGCGCGGGTAACTTTATGCAAATTCGACTAAGGAAAATCAAACTCGGTCGAATTTACCAGACACCACTGAACAGGAACTAAACGCGTTTTGGTCGAAGGAAACAGAATTTAAGACGTAAGGATCAGAAATTCTGTTCCCCTCAACCAATACGCGTTCGGCTCGTTCACTGCCTGCTAAATTCAACCAAACCTTTTTTTCCGCGGGAGTTCACGACTCGTTCCAGCTCATAACGCTCGAATGCGTCGGGCGTGACCGTGAGATCACCGTACGTGATCGTTTTCAGCGCGTATTCGGAAGTATTCGGCGAAAGAGAGATTCATAGTGTGTGGAATGTGACCCGCGCCCTCCTGACCTACAGACACTATGACTCGCGCCGAGCAATGTGGGCTTAGGTTAATGCGCATCGTCTCGGCCTCGGAAGAATGCCGGTTGTCGCGCACGCCGCGCACAGGTGCGATCCGAAGAATTCCGTGCGCCGTGAATTCGTCACTAGCCTTGGTGAGAGATTAACGGCCGCATAGAAGAGCTGTCTGCGATTTTGCGCGAGGAGACCGCGCTTCCTCTGGCACGCGCGGCGCGCTGAACTTTCTAAATCAAAAGCGCGGCCCGTTATCGGCTCGGAGTATCGTTGCAATTAACGTGATTTTAATTAGATATCGGGATGATCTCTTAGTCGATTCGAGCGAACGTAATTTATGCCCCGACGATCCTGTCGAAATTCAGACTTGTGTAAATTGACGTAAAATGGGGGAAGGTTAACTCGGATAGAAAATTGATCTCAATTCGGTGGAAATTCTATCAGGAAATATGGGCGTAATAATTTTGCGAATTATGTGTTTATGATAACCACTCGACGCTCGATTACAACTCATCCTTGTGCTGCCAGCATTATCGTTGGTCGCTCGCTACGTTGAAGCTACCTCTGCACTATGCTACCTTCGGTCGATAAATAATATAAACCTGATAAGTTTCATTAAAGAAGTTGAGGTGCTTTTATAGAGATGTACGGCTGCGGTTACGATACAAAGAAACGAGCGTGTACGCGCGGACGGACGTGCCTGCGGTCATCCGTGCGGAAATTATCGTAAAAATCAACCCCGTAGACGCGGTAACAACGTAATCTCGCGTCCCGCACCTGCCGTCGTTTATCCTCGCGCAGTAAATTGCATCAACGGGATAACACGAACCAACAATAATAATAATAACTTTGTTACAAGCTGCTCATATTATAGTTGAAAGAAAAGCGATTTTTTTTAATTACTGGGAGAAACGGGAAAAAAAGAGATTTTCGAAAAATTAAAATTTAAAATCAAATTAATTTGACGAGCCAAGTAGAAATCAAATAGTGCTATGTAAAGCACTATTTATTGAAGTATTTGCATGTAAATGATGAGTTTTTCGCTCTGACAACTTTTATCATATTTGACTACCGTTCTTCTTTATGACTATTCTTACAGCGTACTAAACTCACTGAAGAGAGTCTGATTTAAGACCGAAACGTTTGATGCACTAATAAAATCAAGATTTATTCCATCTGAATCGTTTATGTAAAATTATCCAGGTTCGTCAAAGCGATGAAAAACAATCATAGACAGGCCATGACGGGTCTAGTATTTATTACACAGATAAAATAGCGAAAGTACTCGTTAAATTTCTCGTTATACAGTACTATTTCATCCGTGCTTGGCTGGTCATAGCCTATCTATGACTGTAAATCATTCGCACACGACTATTTCAATAAATACTTTTTACACAGCGCCATTCGATCTGTGCTTGGCTCATGATGGCCTGCTCATGGTTGCTTTCCGAGGAAAATTTCCGCCGATCCCGCGGAAATTCGTCGCTCGCCGCGCTCGTCGCAATTTCGCGCCGCGATATCTCGCGCCTCTCGCGAGAGGTCGATTCTGGCGCGCGCGCGCGCGCCTGACGGAAAAGAAAAGCCGGCGCGCGCCGTCGCCTTGACGACGACGTCGACGTCGTCGTGTGACGTCGGCGCAGTGCGTTGTCCCGTAACCAGAGCCGCCGCGCCGCGCCGGGTCGACGGTCTCTTCGATGGCAGGAGGCCAGTGTCCTGACTTTTCTCAGCTTTCGCGTCGCGACCGTCCCGACGCCTCCGCCGACGTCGCGACCGACCGTCACCGCGTCCCCGTAGCCGCGATTCGGATCCGTCGCGTATCGATGCGCTGAGAAAGGCCGGATTCCGCCGCGAACTGCGCCGCTCCGCGGCCAGCCCGACGTGACGCGACGCCCCGTCGGAGATGCCCGTTGGTGATCCTGTGAGCGCCGCCGCGGCGTGAGAAGCCACCGGGACATGTGGTGCCTTTTCGCCTCCTATTGATCGGCGCGTCCCGACCGACGCGACCAGGAGAGATCCCCCGCGTTTCGTGGCCCACGGGAGACCCGGTAAGGCTCTGCGAACCCTCCTCCGCGGCTCGTCATCCGAAACGGCCGCTCGCCTCGCGGATCACAGGGCGCTACCCTGACGCGCCGAGGGTGGCCGCAAATTCTGCGCCGGACCGGACGAGAGTATCGTTCCGGGGGAGCGACGTTATCCGCGCGGCTGGCTGTCGTATTGAAATACTCAAACGGTCTTTGTATTTCGAGCGGCGGAAAAAGAATCACGCATAGATAAGGACGCAGGTGGAAGCGTGTTCGCAGCGAGCTCAGATGTGGATACGCGCAAAGGTGCCTTCGTATCTCGAAAGTATCGGAGTTGCAATTACCCCTCCCGCCCTCTCACCACCCTCGTCGCGCTTAGTAAGCAACTTCGCTCCCGGCGAGATAATAGCTGCGATAACGTGCTACATTGTTGTTCGTTTAGCGATGGATACGACGCCTCGTGTCGTGTCGTCGCCAGTCATAGTCGGTAGCGACGGCCTGCGAGTAATTGCAAGACCGTCTTATCTCTCGCGCCATAGTTACGATGATTGTCGTTATTATTACAGCGGAATTCCGAATGAATATAACGAGACTGTGATATAATAACGTTTCGTCTTCCGCACCGATTTGACGTGAATGTGCGCACGTGGGTGTGTGTGCACGGGTGTGCGATTATCGGCGAGGCTTGGCGTGTTTCTCGGCGATATTCAAGCGTCTCGTGAGCAATGCAAAGGCTGTTCTTAGCAACTTCTGAAATGAACAGCACGCGGAGGCTGCCCGGGCTGCAAATAGACGCAAAGTGCCTCGAAAAATTAACTCTCGCGGAACTTTCTCCCGCGTGTCGCTCGGTATGTCACCGCCTCGGGCGCTCCATTATTATTGTTGTTATTATTATTCATTACGCGCGCGCATTGATCTATTTGCACAGACGAGATCAAGATATGGAAATTGCACGGCCCACACATAACGGATCTCAACCGGGCCGCATCGAAAAGCGCGGTCACCGGTGAGCGGTTCTAACGAGGGCGATGCGATTAAATCGATCGGCGCGTTTCTACGTAAACGAGAACTCCGTTCTTGAGGTGGGCCCAAGCCCGTTAACGTAGTTAAACGACACGGTAAACGTCAGCGAGCGATCCGGAAGGGAACTTCGGCTTCCGCCCGTGGCCGGCTTTCCGCGGCGGCGCGATCCACAGTCGAGGAACGTCGCGGCAACATTTAGCCACGAGCGATCGAAAGTCGCCGATCGCACGGGCGCGGCAGGAAATTAGCTGTCCGCTAATTGAAAAGTGTCTCGCCCGTGGAACCAATTAATCTTTCAATCGCTCGACCACCTCGCTCGTGCGCATTCGATTTTGCGTATCGCAGCCGTAACATACGGCTTTAATTAGTTTCGGTCTCTCTTCGTGAAAAAGTTACTTCTCGTTCTGGCCATTCACACGTGCAGCCCGCTCGAGATGTATCCCGGCCTCACGCGTGACCCCGTCGGGACGTCAATTTTACGACTAAAAGGGGAATAATTTCGTTCCCCGACAGAGTTAATATCACATCGACAATTTATTTCACGATGCGCTTTGAAAAGCTGCGCACTCCTCGCGATATTTCGATAATTTCAATTCGCGCAGATGATACATGATGAGCGATAAAAGAAATGCGTAATCATAGCTTTAACGG